ATCTGAGGATCCCCCGCGTCCAGGGGGTCCGAAATCGACGAAATTCTAAGGGGTCACAGGTCACAGGGGCCAGCGACGAAACCACCAGGTCAGTCGGAAAATAAGCAAAATTGGGGGTCCTTTTTCATTAGAAATCGATTTTTCCCCCTCTAAGTCTCTCTAGCGAAGTTATCTGAACTATTTAAATTTATCTATGTACAGAGGGCTACTCCAACATTTCGACGAAATTTTCAGGCAGTCACACCTTCCCCGGTGACGCGACGAAACCAAAATTTCGTCGCGTCGGTCACAGGTCACAGGGTGCGACGAATTGATTTGATTAGTACAGTAGTACAGTATGTTATCTCTTCTGACCACAATACTATCAGCTGGCGGCGTGGTCCGAGATCTTGGGGAAATAGGCCGAATATTCCCTCTACGTTGACTTACCCACCAGTCGGCCGACCGCGAGAGATGCAGAAGACATATGGGAGAATGTGAAACACCTTGAAGATTCTTCGCGGTTCGCCGGCTTGATAGGCATGGGGTCACGAGAAGATTATTCACCTGAAAGGTGGGAGAGGAGATTGTGTGCACAAACACATCAGGAAAACACGAGGGTCGTCTTTGGGGATCTTTGAGGTCTTTGGAAAGACCTAAAGACTTCAAAGACATATAGACCGGACATCTTTCGGGAGACAGGTACATTTTCTTTCAAAGATGTGGTCATCTTTGAGGGACCATCGAGAATCTTTCAAAGATGGACACAGAGCTTTGCGAAGACGGTCTTTGGCTTTGTAAGATATCTTTACAAGTCTTTCACTTATGCTTATCATACCGAAGATGCACTAAAATCAATCTTATTCAAGCTATGTGTAAACAGTAGATACATATAAACCATCTCCATCTATCCATCTATCCAATCCATTGTGCCCCTACACACCACTTCCCGGTCAGTGCACCCAGGAGCCCGTTTCGACCGTCTGGATAAGGATGATGTGGGATGTTGGTGACGGCGATCGGATATTCACGTAGGTGGTAGGTCTGGAGATCAATGAGCACTTTGTATTTCGAAGAAAATAGAAGTACACACCCTCAAATACTCGCGTGGACGACCGGGTTTAGAGGGCATGCGGGCTTGCCACCGTTCTTGGTAGGAACAATGACAGGTCTTGATTTGGTAATGCCGTCCGAAGTGTTAGGGGTCAGTTCGAAGACGGAGTCGAGTATTATTGAACAGACTAGAAGAACTGAGTCAGTCTTGCTCAACTATGAGCGAAACAAGGTGACTCACACGGCCGGATGAAGAATGAGGGTACGCTGACACCGAGACACAGGCTGATCACTCCTTTACCTTCCGTCGCAGCGCTGGAAGTGTGGTGAGAGGGGTACAGATGATAATGGTGCGGTGACTTACGAAGGGCGAGGTTGGGAGTGGTGGAGTAGATGAGGCAGTGCTAGTGATGAGGTTCAGTAGGGCACATGGACACGTGAATGAGGCGTACGGGTTAGGTGAACTTGCAGCTGTGGGTGTAAACGTCGGGAAGACTGTCGTAGTGACCGTAGTCGTTGCGCTGAATAAAAGTGTCACGTCGAGCTTCACCACAAAAATTGGAAAGTTACAATACGGGGAGTGGAGACGTTCACGTCAATTCCGGATTGAATACATCCACTATAGTGATGTACTCTCAGCAACAGGTCGTTAGGCAAGAAGAAAAAACAGACCCTCCCGACCCCATAGATCTTAGCGACGATGCATCGAAAAAACAGTGTACGACATTCTAAAATGTATCAGATCAGCATATCAATGGTTTGATAGTGTTGGAGAGGTAACAACGAACTTGCTGGGTGCTGCCACCGTTCTTGGTAGCGAAGACGACGTGTCTTGAGATGGTCAGGAAAGGTGAACCGTGACATACTTCATTTAAGCAGAAGTAGGTGAGAAGGAATGAGAACGGGGGACGCAGCAGCAGGGGGGAGCGTATGGGTATGTCTTCCAGAATACAACGCAGCCAAAGGTACTGGGAAAACACTGATAAGTGACTGTCCACGGTACTCAGCCCCATTGAATGTGGCAAGGTGAAGGAACCATACCTGATGGCCAGTCCCTAGTAGGACTTTGACATGCCAAAGGAGATCATAAAGAGGGAAAACCCGATCAATCCCTTTGAGGGATCAAGCGATGATCAACGGTGTCCGACCATCGGCTCCATTGAAGAATGGTGTACACTTCAGTGACGAAGAATGACGATTCCTGAAACCAGTATGAGAAGGTCTTCTGCATCTCGGAAAGAATACATACGTACTTTCTCCTCGTGTAATGGTAATACACTGACAAGCTATGCTTGCGGTCGGTCGGATTGTGTGTCATGATAGACCAACGACGACGAACCTTGTTTATGAATGGGTAGATCACCTGTGAAGTTATCGGTTCCGTGAGTTGGACCCATAGAAGATGAATGGCTGGAACTTAGGTAATGGTGCGAAGTGTTGAGCTCAAATGTCACGACGTGCAAGTCCAAAGGGAAGATGGTGCTCACGTCGTCTCCATCAGTCGGATCCGCCATATACACCATTCCAAGCCCATCTTTTCAAACAATTTCAGCTTCACAACCAAACGAAACAAAAAAAAAACGAAATAGCCTCACTGTATTGAAAAACACCTCACCAACCTCCACCTCGTGACTGAACGCCTCTATTGGGGTATCGCTCAAAAGAGGAACCTCCGTCGCCTCGCGGGCTTCTGTAGCGTAGATGTAGAACATGAAAGGAGTGGGTTTTTTCGGAACCCTGATAAACTGTCATCACGCGAACACAAGAATATCGTGTTCGTGAGTTTCTGAGCGTTAGGAGAGAGAATTTACCTGAGAAGCGAGTGCTAAGCGCGGGCAGTATGGATGTGCAAGGTGGATGTGCAAGGTGGTGGTGGTGGGCCAAGTGGTGATGGTACGAAGATAAGAAATCAACGTGCACATGTGACTGAATGTTGATCGTTGATAACGCGTCACGCCCACCCTCAAGTTGGGGAAAGCTATCAAGTCTATTTATTGCTCCCATAAGTATGGGTATAGTGATTACAACGAAGTAATAAAAAAGAAAAGAGGTTTACTCGTCGTCATCAGAGACAAGTATGTATTCTTGAGCATCTTCCTCTTCTTCAGGGGCTTCACTTCCGCCAGATGATGCTGACCGCGAGCGTTTACGCTTCGGCTTGTTATCAGCTAGAATGCCAGCAATCTCTGCGAAGATGGCATCCCAGTGGTTCTTCGAGAGAGATTTGACCGTGGGCATGTACTGAGTTGCACGGCGAACAAGGACATTGACTGTCTTACCCTTCTCCGATTTCCGTTCAGTACGGTCGCCGTAGTTGTCAGCCGAGAAGTGGTTATGACTGCCCTTAGGTTCAACATACTCTCCTGTTTTCCAAGCCTTCAGGGAGTGCTGAACCTGATGTGAATGTGAATTGAGAGTTATTGAGAAATGAGTGGTGACGTACCGCTTGAAGGGCTAGGATAAATGCGCCGTATGGTTTCTCATTCTCGCCGAGGCGCTCCGGGTCGGGTACGTCCTCCCATTCTGCAAAGTGGGCAAGTGCCAGCGTGTACAGAACCAGTGGATTTTGGAGTCGTCCCTACATATCATTTAGTGTGGTCATATATGATAACATATGCATACCTTCTTTATAACCTTTCCAGTCTCGTCATTGATATTCCACTCTTTCCAGAGGAAGGATAAGTCGGGGGTTCTCCATCCGATGTCAGGGAAAATTGAACCCAGTCAGCAATAACTTGACTGTCGTCAAAGTATTCGGCCTGATCAACTTCAATGTACCTCTTCAGCGCTTCGGCAGCCTTGGTAGCAAACCCATTTCGCCAGTTATTCAAGCGATAACTAATCTGCATGTTTAGATGTCACATTAGAATGGTACAAGATGCTCAACGAATATATGACTCACCAGCGGACCCCACGGATCGGTTGGGGCATCCTGAATGGTGTACTGGGCGGAACCGTAAATCTTGTCCACAAGCTCCTGGACTTGTTCCTTTGAAAGGCCCTCCCAAGGAGGAAGCGAGCCTGCGAGACCCTTCGCGAGAGGGACTAGCTGGTTCGTAAATACCTCTGATGTCCCCTTTGGAAGGTGTTCAAGCTTCCATTTTCTTCCGCTTCCACCACGGGCTTCACGTTGCGTGCGAGGGGTAGACGACACCACTTCTATTTTCAGGGTGGATGACTGGATTAATCTATAAGCTCGTTGTTTACATGAACGAAAGAGATACGCACATATTGGCTTGGACCCCGTTTCGACCCTTTGTCCTTCACAACGACTGACCGCTCCACTTCATCATCTTCATCGTCGCCAACCATCCCTCCATACCGTGCCAGTGAGTCGTCATCGTCCGTTTTGGTAGCCGGCCCAATCGATTTTGCTTTGATAGCAGAGTCCCAGCCAGCACGAAGGCCTGAAGGTGGCTGGTTCGACTTTTTAGGTTTCTTGGCTAGAGGCTGAGGGCTTCGGCTTCAAAAACAAAGATTAGTGCAGCTGATAGGTGCATAGATTCTATGGAACTGACCTTGGGCTCCGCTGACGACGTTTTGATTGTTCAACAGCAGCTTGAGATCCTGAGGTGGGAGCGGTGGTTCGAATGGCTGCAATCTCACGGCGTCCAGGTTTGGCCTTGTTGCCTTTCTTGGACGTAACTTCCTTTTCACTCCCATCCTCATCCTCATCCTCGCTCCCCACCTCATCTTCATCGCTGCCCTCTTGGTCTTCTGGCTGGTACCGATCCTTATCGCTACCATCAGACTCCATGCCATCTGGCAGGATTGTTGCATTTCGAGCCGCCCGAACTGGTCCTAAAAATCAATCGGTGAGAGATGCTTCCCAAAAAGTGTCACATAGACATACGCCGTGGCAGAGCTGAGTCTTGAGCATGACCAGGTCCACCAATCTCATCCTCAACATCAATTTCCATAGGAGGAGCAGGTGTAGGAGGAGCAGGTGGTCGGAAACTGGCAACTCGTGGCTTGCGAACATTCGATTGGGCGATACGTTGAAGGTCCTCTTGGCGCTGTTGGTCTTCAATCTCAGCCACATTCTTCATGGCTATCTCCTGGTTTCGTTCCTTCTCCTGCTTATCGACTGCTTGCTGATCTCGGATGGCCTGCATTTCTGCAGGTGTACGGCGTGGTTTAGGCATGTCGACAACACCCGGGCGAACATCTTTATTCTTCGCGCGAGTAGAAGGTCGACTAGGAGCGAAAGGCGGAGGGAGCGGATTTTTACTAGGAGCCATCGTGGTGACTGTTATCGACGAAGGTGTGTTTGCTTGATGGTTCAGTTTGGCTCCATCCTCATTTGCTTCCGTCAACAAGGTTGATTACGAACCCAGTTGAAATTTTAGAGGTTTACTTAGATCCACCATGCCCCGTTCCTTCAAAGTTCGCTACATTCCTTGCCCTGTCCAGTCTTGTACTCGTCAATTTACAAATCGAGGGGGTCTTAAAAACCATATCCGAATGCACCGTACGCCACAGGCAAATCAAAATCTGCCGGCACATCAGCCACCTGTGAACGATGACATTGTGGTTGACGGTATCGAAGAAGGTGCCCCGGCGCTGGGTCCAGAACATCAGGATCACCCTCCGAATCCTGAAAAGGTCGCTAAAGAGACGGTGACTTACCATCCCTTGATTAATGGTACGCCGCCTCACCTTTACTCCTAAAAAAAAACTGACAGTTACTTAGGCCTTCCATGCGATGGGCAAGGCAATTTTCTACCTGAAGGCGCACCGCCTCCGCCCTGGGAGGAGCGTGCTGATGACGACTTCAGCACTTTCAAGGATGCTGCGGCGTTTGAGCTCGCCGACCTTCTTTTCCGACGAGACCAGATGTCTGGCACCAACATCAACGATCTTCTTCAGATCTGGGCATCAACTCTTTCTCAGGATGAGGATCCCCCCTTCGCGAGCAAGAATGAGATGTACAATGCCATCGATGACCTGGATCTTGGCGGGGCACCATGGAAATGTTTCACTGTGAAGTACAACGGTGTGATCGAAGAGGGTGATGTGACCTCGTGGAAGCACAAATCCTTTGAGGTCTGGTATCGCGATCCTCGGACAATCATGCATAACCAGTTGGGAAACCGAGAGTATGCCGATGAAATTGATGTTGCTTCAAAGGATGTGCGTGATAAGGATGGCCAGCGACGGTTTTCGGATTTTATGTCTGGAAATTGGTCCTGGCGACAATCAGTATGTTACCTAGTATAAATATTCGTCTGTCGGGTACTAAACTTGGTTCAAATAGGACGAGATAGCCAAGGACCCCAAAAATCATGGATCAACTTTTTGCGCGACCATCCTCGGAAGTGATAAGACCACAGTCTCAGTCGGAACGGGCCACAACGAATATCACCCTGCGTATATATCCAGTGGGCTCGTTCACAACAATGTTCGACGTGGTCACCGAAATGCAGTGACGCTTCTAGCCTTTCTTTCAATTCCGAAAAGTAAGTGACCCTCAATACACGAGCCTACCATTAAAAAAAAATAACTTCGTGTTATCTAGCTGATAAGGAGCATGAAGACAGCGCCGAGTTTCGGAAATTTCGCCGTGCTCTCTTCCATGGATCACTCAATCAAATTCTCCAGCCTCTGCGGGAATACATGGAGACGCCTGATATTATCCGTTATGGCGATGGATATTATCGACGCACAATCTACGGAATTGGACCATACATCGCGGATTACCCCGAGCAGGTTTTGTTGGCATGTGTCGTGCAGGGTTGGTGCCCAAGGTGAGCAATGTCCTGATTCTCGTACCACTATTTCTCTTATTGTTGTTCTATAGATGTGATGCTAAATGGGACAATCTGGATGACAACATTGCGGGACGGCGCTCTCACGCACTAACATGCTCTCTTGTTGATGCGCTGGATAAGAACTCGTTATGGCATGACTATGGCATCGTTAGCGACATCATGGTATGTTATATCTCATTATTATACTCCTGACTGCCCTCACTGTGTGTTCCTTAGCCGTTTACCCATGGCTTTCCTCGTGCAGATATTCACGAGCTGCTATCACCAGACCTTCTCCACCAAATCATTAAAGGAACGTTCAAAGATCACTTGGTGACTTGGGTTACAGCTTATATCAATCTTGAGCACCCTCCCGCTGAGGCCAGACGGATTCTTGCCGACATTGACCGACGGTAAGTCCAGCTAATTGCTTTTTTAGCGATGATGACTGACCCAACACTTTTAGCATTGCCGCGGCACCCTCATTTCCCGGCCTTCGTCGTTTCCCTGAAGGCCGTGGATTCAAGCAGTGGACGGGAGACGATTCAAAAGCGCTTATGAAGGTATGTAATATTTTGCCAGCTGTTCTGACTCTCTTTCTGACCTGTAATCCCAGGTTTACCTTCCTGCCATTGCGGGCCACGTTCCTCCGCAAATGGTGCGCGCTGTAAGCTCCTTTATGGAGTTTTGCTACCTCGTCCGCCGTAACGTCATCACTGAGGGTGACATTGTTGCCATTGATAATGCTGTCGCCAAATTTCACGTTGAGCGCAGCATTTTTGACGATGTTCGCCCTGATGGGTATTCACTACCCCGTCAACACTCACTTGTTCATTACACATTCCTTATTCAAGAGTTCGGGGCACCGAACGGTCTTTGTTCATCGATAACCGAATCAAAACACATTAAGGCCGTTAAGGAACCATGGCGAAGATCGAGTCACTACGAAGCACTAGGGCAGATGCTTGTGACGAATCAACGTTTGGACAAGCTAGCTGCTGCCAGGGTTGACTTTCAAGCACGTGGTATGCTTGACCAGCGATTGGGACCACCGGACCTGCCACCAGATCTGCCGGCCAACAATCTTCAGGACGAGGAGGATGACGATGGAGGTGCGGTTGATGGCGATATTGATAGTGAGGTGATTCTCGCACAGATCCCCAGTGAGTCTTGAGGATAGTTTTCGTTTCTCCACGATCTCTGATTGCCGCATTACTGTTCAGTTCGAAATCTTCCTCTCACGGTTCCAGGTCTCAGTGTTCATCTCAATATCCCTCACCTTCCAAACCTTGTTCGCCGCTTCCTTTACGAACAACTGGTACAAGTTGACACAGACGTCGAGCTCGACGATGTTCCACTGTCAGATTGCCCTGTTCTTACCAACACCACGAAAATCCGCATTTTTCCTTCCGCGGTTGCCATTTATTATGCCCCAAGTGACTTGTCTGGCACAAGGGGCATGTTTCGTGAACGTATTCGAGCTGTCGACTCTTGGCGGCGTGGTCCTGCGAGACATGATTGTGTTTTCGTTCAACATGATCCTGACAAACCAGGTTTCCGTGGGCTGTACGTCGCGCGGGTACGCCATTTCTTTTCCATTCGTCACAACAAAACCCACTTTCCATGTGCATTGGTCTCCTGGTATTCAACTATTGGTACCACGCCGTGCGCAGATACTGGAATGTGGAAGGTCGAGCCCGATTTTGATAATCTGGGTAATTCAGCTATGTCGATCATTCATCTCGACAGCATGGTGCGCGGCGCACACCTCATGGGTATTGCAGGTACTACCCGAATCCCTCACCACCTAACGTTCGACCGCAGCCTCGATGCTTTCCAGGCATTTTTTGTAAACAAATATATAGACCACCATGCACACGAGTATGCCTTTTAATTGATATGTATGAATAAAATAACTTAAGTATGGATTGCCCTGTATGCAAAGAGTGGGAAAGAACATATTTTTACGTATCCAAAAGGAAGGTGGAAGAAAGTTGAGGTGTCTCGAAAATCTATAATGTCAAGCTCATTCCAATCTTATATATTGGAATGTGCCTTGGTACGTTGTAAAGCCACTGTGGTGTAATGGTCTAAAGGGCTGCCTTCTGTGTATAACGTCTGGTGTGCCTGATTCCTGAAACCCTGTGTTCAATCCAAGGCTGGGGCAAAAATTCCTGCAACTTTTCATTCCACAAAACCTGTGCTAAACACATCGCAATCTTTTATTCCAGAGGCATGTACACTTCATGTATGTAAATTGACAACAATTTCCTCCCAAAAAAGATGGCCCTCGCAACCAAAGACGTTGAGGTAAGAAAGATTTCGCAACCAAAGATGTCAAGGTAAGAAAGACAGACCATTCAACTCAAAGACTTGAAAGCCTCACCTTATATTGTAGAGATTCGTACTCAAAGACAAAGACCTTGAAAGACCTTCTCTGCAAAGACATAGCTCTCAGAGACGTCGTTCCCTGAGATGAAGACACCAAAGATCACCCTTATGTTTTCCTGATGCATGCGGCCGATTAGACGTTTCTGAGTGGTTTCCAGGTGACAACCGCTTCGATGCAGGTCAATTAAGGAGCTCTTGGGAGCTCCGACGCCAGCTAAGTCGACGAGGGTGAAGTGTAAGGAATACTAAATACGATCCATTCACTTCAGCAAAAGGCATCTTAAGGCAACTGCAGATAAAATATAACGACTAGCTCACAGATAATCCTTGGATCACAAAAACCAAGAGTTACATATATACTATGAAAGCTTCACACTCCGCTGTCGAGGCTTTATTGCGTGTCTTGAGAGTCCACCGAATTTTTCGTCTGGGGCTCGATTAGGGCTGCGCACCGTCCGTCTGACGGACACGGTCGTCTAATCGACGGGCGTCGACAGGGGCGGTTCAACCAGCAACCGTCCGTCTGGGTCACCCAAGCAGAAGCAAACGGAGACGGACTGATATAAAACGGCCGTCAACGGATGTAGACGGACGTCAATTGTATTGACGTCGACAAATTTCAGTGATACATAGAATAAATAATATTACAAAGGTAAGTATTGAAAACAATTGTTACTATCTAGTAGCGTAGGGCGGCATTTGTCTGTGCTTGTGTCGTGGAGACTTGCACAATGTAATAAACACATGAGTACTGATTACAAAGTACATGCAAAGCAGAAATTTACTCAATACCTACCTACTACGGTCCACGATGAGATCGATTTTTCGGTCTTGGTGAGTGCTTTTGCTGAAAATTTTCATTCCTAGTGATAATTAGAAATAATAATAATAATTACATAAGTATCCGAAATTTTAAAAACCAACAGGGGCTGCACGTAAATGAAGAAATATTTGAAGGACAGGTCGCCGGTTTCAGAAAAAAAGTTCACGGGGTACGTGGGTGTTGGAAGGCGATAGCGGCCTTGGTGCAATTCTCATTTCAGACTCCGCATATGCGGTGACGCCCGTCAACCCCGTTAACGCCCGTCACTCAACGGAAACAGACGGCCTTTCCCCGTACGTCTACCGTACGTCAGGAGACTTGCGACAGGCCCAGACGGTACGGTGACGGTGCCCGTCTGACGGACCCGTCTATCCGTCTAAGACGGACACGGTGAGCAGCCCTAGGCTCGATCTTATCGGCACCCTAACAGCGCGCGGGGCCGGACTCTTATGGAGTCGGAAGAGAGCTCAGGAAGGTTCTCGCCTGGGTCAAGGGCACATCAGAATTTTTAACTACACTTGGTTTCTTCGACGTACCAGATTTATAATAGTCGCTTCTCAATGGTAGTATGGTACAAAAAATGGCCCAACCAAATCACTAAATGTGTGCTGAGCCTGGAGCGTATGAAGCCTGCAACGCCTTGGAAGTAAGTCCACTACCAACTGAAAAAAGACTCATTGTTGCTGACCTTTCCCCTCAAGGTTTCCGCCTCTCTTTTTAGCTTTTGGAGTCAATTTGGACGTGCGGGGTCGGAATTGACTCCGAATTGATGATCATGTCCTTGCTTGGTCCGTGCGCTGATACCAGCCACGCGCATCATTTTTTAACATGTTGATCAACTCTCTCAAAATCTTTTGGCAACCTCTCGTACCCTTCGGATCTGCAAATCTCTACTTTTCAGGCAAATGGAGGCGGTTCAACCTGATGAGCTCGGAATCGGCTTGAGGGAGTCCCTGTCCTAAGTCTATCTGCCATCTTAACCTCGGGCTCTAGATTCAAACCCAATCGGACAATGCGACTTCAGGTACGTCTTACCGCACCAGTTAACAGTGGAGCACTATTCACTCTCCACGAAAGGAACGATAGGGCGCTCGTGGTACTTCTGTCCTTGACTAGTTTGATTACACACAGGGATCATCTTTGTAAAACGAACTGACGAAAGACGGTAAGTCTTGTCATTGGACACAACAGGGTATTCATTGCTCATAATAAGCTCGCGGTATTCAAGGATTAATTTATAATCAATTACGCGGCATTTTGGCTTCTTATACGTTTTAGGTATTGCACCGCTGCGGTCCGCGTGCAACAAGCTCTCGTTCAAATTCCTATTAAACCGACTAAGTTGAGCTGTTCGCAATCTCAGTACGGCTCCTCTGCTCTTGAGTTTTACGCCGCCATGCTCTTGTTGCTACATGCCATATTCCTTCCTGTGCGTTTACTTTCTGACCTCCCTAATTCTCAATTTTTCATCTCAATTTAGGTCGTCATCTCAGCTGCCGAGTCGACGGCTGTGATCAAGACAAAAGAAAATGTTGACGGGCCCCTTGTGGGGTGGAAGGCCGTAGGATGCTACACGTAATCTGTTTTCCGTGGCCGATTTTTTTAATCTGAGTTGACAAAATCATTGCTCAGCGACTCTTCCACAAGCCGTACACTGCTTGGAGCTTCTACCAATACTTTGACAATGACAATTGCGGCTTGTAACGCCTACTGCTCGGCAGGAGCGTATAGTTATTCTGGTCTTGAGTACGGGCAGGTTCGCCAAGTTTTCTTTCTGGTTGATGTCAACAATCCAATTAACATTTTTCCAAATAGGAATGTTGTACGTGCTCAAACATGATCCTCGCATCTTTTTAAATTGGCAGCCGAATGTAGATTGCGGCTACACGATCCAGGAGACGGCTACCACCGTTGACGCTTCCGAATGTAACTATCCCTGTGCTGGTGATTCCGGCTCATTATGCGGTGGGCAAAACAGGGTATTCATTTACTATAACGGTACACCACCCCCGCAGAACAATCCTGTTGTGGGGGACTGGACGTACAAAGGGTGCTTCACGTACGTTCTTTTACCTCTTGTGTAATCTCCGCTCAACTCTCGCGTCGTTCCAGGGATAATCGTGTCACGCGTTCGCTTCACAAGAAGGTTGACATTCAAGGCGGCGTCACAGTCGAGAAATGTGCATCAGAGTGCAAGGCCAGTAATTATGGGATCTCCGGGACGGAGTACGGGATTGAATGTTGTGCGTATCTGCGTCTGTACTTGATTTTTACCGGTATTCTTGACGTCTCTACCTCAAAGGGTGTGGTGAATTTCTCGAGGGTGGGACCAAAACTCAAGATGGCGATTGCGGAATGACTTGCGAAGCAGACTCCACAGAGTTTTGTGGTGCCGCGGATCGTCTCACCATTTATCAGGATACCCAGGCGGCGCAGGTTGACTCTCATCATTGCCTCCAGACAACGCGTTCCAATTTTACGCTGGTTGCGATTGGGAAACAGTTAGGAAGCAAGGCAATTCCTGTGAAGGTTATTGACGTCAACACCGTGCCTCTTGTGGGGTACTCTATTCTTTCCGTGCGTAAAGGTTGTTCAGATGACCCCAATACCGTATTGATATCTTTTTAGGCTTGCACTACCTGCTTCAGCCTTTGGACTTCTATCAATTTGGAAGACAGAGGTTTATACCCAGTGTCCGCAACAAACCCCAATTTGAAGTCAACTTCGTGGTCACTTCCGGAAGGTGGTTCTCCGACTTTTATCTCCACCCAACTACCTCCGCCTGCGTATGGCGGTTATTGCACCACTGTAAGGCAATCATACTTGAAGGCTCCTCTATCATCGGAGCTGATGTGTCCTGAAGGAAAACCCATTGAACACGGATGGTCCACTGCTTGGGCCGCTTATTCTCGCAGGTAACCATAACCCCGATCAGTGGGCTCTCTGCCCCAATATCACGGCCAATGGAAGATTGGATGTGGTTTGGTCGCCAACGGTCAACAATCCACATTACGACAGACGAAGCTGTCAGGATGTATACCTACAATTAGTTTAAGTATTGCTTAGTTCGTTGTCCGTACAACGTGGGATAAAACTATTGAGAAACCCCCTTTCCGCAGAAACCCCCCACTCAAAATCTTTGCTTCTCTGGAAACCCTATTTCTCTTCGGTCAAGGTCCGGCAGTCACATGATCTATGGCCTTCAAAGCTGTATTAGTAATATTTCTAACAAGTCACGAGTCTACACAATCGCTTTCAAGAAACGTTCTTCTGCTGCCTTTGCTCACACATCCATTGCGCAACCATTTGTCGGACACACCCGCCTTGCTAGGAGACTACCCGCCATGCACAAAGGAGATCATTCATTCTAGTAAGAATTTCGTCAACCACTCTGCGTTGAAACGAAGTCGAACTTACTACTTTTCATGAAGCAATTGCGCAGTGATAGAGTCAGTCGGACAAAAAAGCTTTGATTACGGCCCAATAGAGGCACATCAGGTGTGTTGTAATGCACTGACAGAAATTCTCCATCTAAATACCACAGCTCGCCGTTTACTGCCCCTAAATACAGACGGCAAAGCTGCGCCAATCCTAGTACTTTTCTACCAAGGCTGGCTCATTACTGGATCCCCCTCTTTGCCCCCTTCCAACCTCGTATACAACAACCTTTACACTTACTTCTCGAAGCATCGCTACCGTCATACCCGATTACCGTCTCGTCCCAGGCATCGCTCACCCTCAAGAATCCGAGGATGTTCATGACGCGCTCGCTTGGGTTGTTCAGAATCTCGCTCCTCTTGGGGAGGAGAAGTCCACCCATATGCTCATCCTCGCTTACTCAGCGGACAGCGAACAGGATGGCCACGTCTTCGCGCGTGTGTTCGCATCATCCCCTGCGGCGCACATCATACGAGGCGTGGCGTTTATGGATGTGCCATTTGAGATATGCCTATCGAGTCAAGCCTTATGCCGTTGCCGAAACGTATCACGGGGATCGAAACACAATAGCTCAAACACGATTGTGTCCCGTTTGGTGACACGGTCCACATTACCTACTCGTGTACAGTCACCTCAAGGGTGTCCCTCGTTTGCGCGAGTCAACCGCTGTGTTCTTGGTCTGCCTTTGGGATTTCGAGCTGTTCCTGGGTTTGAACGGCTGTAAGCAGTGGGCCCAGGGCAGCTTGCGCCTCATGACAGACTGTGTGTGCTGATATCGCCTCTGTTGGCGTTGGCTGGGTTGTTGGGCTCCTCGTGGACTTGAAAGGGTTAGATAGAAGGGAACCTGACGCTGAAGTATCAACTGTATTTTCGGTGCAGCCGGAATGGATTTCGTTTGCGAGGGTAATTGTTGGTATGTTTTGTGTATCGAGGTTGTTATTTCAATACCACCTGGACTCGCACCAGCATTACCATGGCGGCTTTGCATCATGAGGATGCTGCCTTCCGGGAACACCCTTTTACTTGGCCCATAACGCGACCATTCAACCATTGGCTGTTGTTGTGGGATTGTTTCAACTTGCCCGGGCTCCAATTCCCAAACCTCTCCCCACTGTAAAGCTCAGGTCCCTATTCAGCTTCAGCGCGTCCAACTCTATACCCTATCCGCGCTTCTGAGCTCGCCGTCGATCTCACGAGAAATATCAAAGAGTGTGAGCGCGCAAGCCCAGTGAAAACCGGCTCTGTTACCAGCCGCAAGTATCTGCGGATTCCCGGAAGATATCGGAGATCGTCGGCAGAGCAGAAAGGTGCAGGTAGAATGGGATTTTGTCCCTTTTGCGGATTTTTTTCCGCAACTGTCTGCCTCTTTTTGATGAACTACGGCGTCGATTGCGAATATTTCGGTGGCTACCCCTTCTAGTCTGCTCCCATCTGCATTTCTCAGTCCTCACTTGTAGGTAAAATTTTTTGAATTGCTTCATATATAATATACAATTTCCTGCGAATATCTGCGAATTTCTGGCTGCTATATACCCAAGACCCCCACGACACGACATCTATCCCTGGAACGGAACCTTAACTAATCGCCGTCTCACACCCACTTCCACCCATCCGCTTGTGCACACGTCTGAGAGACAGATGTATCGATGTCGGGGTCGGCATTGTGGATGGGGGAATAAATAGAAATTTCGAGCCGCTGGGTATTTATCAGACACGCGACACCGAACGGATGCCAAAACGCACTCACAAGATGTCCTCGGCCATAGAATACTCTGCAGAAGGCGCATATATGCGCCGAAAATGGTCACTTAGACGACATGGTACAAGGACAGGAAGTCACTTACCGAAGTTCCAGTAACAGACACACTTCCTTGTACCCAGTGAGACCAGTCACTTGAACTCCGGAGCCTATAGGCTGATGACTCTGTTCACGTACGTTAACGAGAGTAATGCCAGTGGGCGGAATGGCGCGAAGTGTGAGGAGATGGATTGGGGGAGATGGTGGGGGGGCAGGAAGAAAGAAGGAATAAAGGCAATTTGATAGCGCTCTGAGATATATAGTCGCGCTCAGCAAGTAGAATTTGGGGAAAGAATTTAGAGTCGAGTCCAGAATGATGTCGTTCAACGGAGCAGGTGCAGAAACGTTGCGGGCCGCAGCGGATCATCGCCGATTTTGCCCTTTTCAGCCGATATTCGCACATTCTCGTGGAAACTTGCAGAGCCGGTTTTCACTGGGGCGCAAGTCCGAAGTCACGCAATGAGATTGTGTAAGCCGCCATGGACCGTCAGCCGGATTATGGCCGGAAGTTTAAATACACAAAAGTCAGGGATTTCTCCAATTGCCTCGGAAACCCGGGGGGTTTCCGCGGAAAGGGGGTTTCTCAATAGTTTTATCCGTACAACGTGCCCCCAGTTCTTTTTGTAGGGGTTTCTTGTGTTCCTTTCCAATTTTGTAATTATTTTTACCTCGGCCCGTTCAACCGAACGCGTTGTCCAAGGCTGTGCAGTGTGCTCGAACCTTCTTGCTTCGTACTTCAAAGCTTCACTCTTTACGCGTTACGACAGACACTCACGATGGATAGTATTTCTCCGCTAACGTGGCTGATTCCTTTGGCAATCATGTGTGCATCGTTCGATTTTGGCTCTCTTGAAATTTCTTATGTCTTTTCTTCAGAATCGCAATTCGCTGGTTCACCCTTGAACTTGTCCCCTCACATTCGTCAAAGTCAGACATCTCTACAAGGCAGATAAGGCACCCACGGGAGGGAAATAGAACGCAGAAACCTCATCTGAAGCTGAAAGAAGTCCGCGAGAGGCAACGGTTAAAAACACTGTATCATCGTCACGGTTTCGGCCTGCTGCCCACGGAGATTGTCGACTATATATTCACGTTCTGTCTTCCTCAATCCCCCTTTATCCGACCTAAACCTACCGATGCACCTTTGCTGCTGTGCCATGTATCTCCTGCCTGGAGGGATTACGTCACTCATAATCCTAAAATGTGGCCGTCTCTGTATGTCAGGTGCTGGTCATCGGGTAAAGGACACATGTCTTGTCGCCAAAGCATCCATCCTGAGCTTATGCGAAAGTGGCTAAGCTGCTCTTCCACGCTTCCCATTTCCATCCACCTCTCTGCAGGCAAGCAGTATTATCAGAAACCAGAGGGACGCGAGGCCTTCCGAACCATTGCACAAACTTTGGCGGGCGAAATCAATCGCTGTAACAATCTTGAGCTGGATCTTCCCACCACGGAGGCAACTGATGTATTTCTTGCATTACTGCCCCAGGACGAAGTGCTTTTCTTGGAGAGTTTCCTTATACGTTGCGAGGAGGAACGTAGACTTCCTATCCACCTCTCCGCCTTGTTCAACTACTCGCCAGATTTACGCAAATTGATTTGGAAAGGTCCAAATGTCAAAGCGAGACGATTTTTGCCGATTGTGAATTGGAATCAACTCGTCGATGTTCGTCTAGATTGTCGACTATCTTTGATAGATTGCTTTCACATCATTCAGAGATCGGTTCAGCTGAAAACCTGCTATCTATACGGGATTTCTATACCCCTTTTTTCTACACTCTTGACAGGCCCTCATACCCATACATCGCTTCAGGATCTCCGTCTTCACTCAACCATACCCATTAATTCGCTTATCTCGACGTTGACGCTACCATCGCTCAACGCATTGCAGCTCATCCTCTCTGGGAACCCGATTGGGCTTGACTCACACAACTCGGGCGCCGATCTATCACATTTTGTGGAACGCTCCAGCCCGCCGCTGCGAAGCCTTATGCTAGAAAACTTCCGTATTCCCGAGAATGATTTAATACAGTGTTTGTTGGATTTGCCGACAATCGAAGAAATCAAGATCGATGAAACTGCTGCCGGGTTCCTTACCAACGAATTTCTTGACGCATTGGGAAAGCTTTGGCCAAACTCGGAAGACGAGGGTGCACATCGCATGTTCCTATGTCCCAAGCTGCAAAGCATCCGTCTTGGACCAACTATTTCCTCCGCAGACGGAGTTTTTGCGGAAATGTTTCGCAAGAGATGGGATGCAGCAGAAAGGGGTGAAGTCTGTCGAATGAAATCAGTTCACGTGGAGTTCAGAAATGGGGCCCATGTTGCTGACGAGGAGGTGAAGCAATATAGGGCAGAGGGGCTATCATTTCACTTTTATTCGATACCATAAGCTACCATACAACGAGCCCTAATCTATTCTCTCGGTGATATGTCAATGACTTACTAACAGAACCTCGTGGCAACTCTTTGGCGTAGATATGGTAACGGCGTCGGTGAAAGAAAGAGGGGAACTCGCTGGAACATGGGAATCCCAAAAGCCTTCAAGATCAGCTTCTGGTTCTTCTTGATCCCCGGTATTTCCGCTGTTTTGCGGCGGTATATAAAAAAAGATTTAAGAGATGTCTCCAGCAATATAATGATGCTGTCAACCTTTAAAAGCCTGAACGGCCCTCTGTTCAATTTATTCTCATCTTGAAACTCTCCATTTCGCAACTTTTTATTCCAAACGGCACACCATGTGCGCCGCCACGACGCTCATTTCTCTCTTCCTTCTCTCCATTGGCGCCAATGCCCAAAGTTCCAAGCCGGCCTCCACATCTAGCGCGATTAGTGCCACGCCCTCTATCACGGCATGCATTCTTGCATGCGTGGAATCCGCTGCCACCGCCAATGGATGTGCATAGTATGTCGTTTTAGCTATCTCTTCTCGTCGCAGGTTAACAACTTCAACATTTCAGCACCAACGCATCCTGCATTTGCGCTTCGGCGCAATTCCAAGCTGACGCTGCTCTGTGCTTGACACAACACTGCACCGCTGATGATCTCAAAAACGCTCTGGCGCTCCAGACTTCTCAATGCCACTCTGGTACGTGTTGATTAATTTATATTGAGTTGAAAGAGAATTTTCCTGACGCACGTTCGCTCTGTGTAGTCTCCGTGTCTCGGAGTGGTACTGCGTCAATTACCCCACATACTGTGTCGTTCACCGCCCCTTCCTCCGTCGCTTCGACCGCCAGTTTGACCTCGTCAATTCATACCTCCGCCTCCCTCACCGCTAGTGCTTCCATCCCCGCCAATTCTACCTCTGTTTCTTCGTCTGGCGTGAACCAGACCTCTGAATTGTCGACCCGGGTAACTTTCGGTATTATCGCTCTCATTTCCATGGCCCTTATAATCTGATATGCGGGAAAATGCTTGTGGAGATGGGGTCAAAGTGTCTAAAAAATAATATGGAGCGCGCCCCGCTTGGGAGTAGGGTCGTCGTTGTATAGCGTTGTATCCCCGCAATTTTTTGTTGATAAAAGACTGCTTTTGATTGGGCAATCATCGTGATCATCGTGATCCGTCAACGCGTCACAGTCCGTCACACATAAAACGCAGCCGCACTTTGGTCTTGCTTTGGTTGTGCTTTGGTCGAACTTTCGTACATAACACAATAGGTAGCGGGAAGACATCAACGTCCTATCTTAATTTCCAGCGCCACTGAGGAATCATACCGTCCGTGGCGCCCTCCTAACAATCAAGCCCACACCCTAACATTGTTATCAAATTTTTATATCTCCAGATTAGGGACTGTCACGGATAGGCTAATCCCGGGTAAACCCGAAATCCACCCATATTTGGATACAATTGATGGATTCGGGTAACTACCCGGACTATCCGCAGGTATCCGTGGGTAAATTATATGTTTTTAGACCTCTTTGAGATATTTTGAGCGTACCTGCCCTGAATAGATAAGAGTGTGTTATCTGTGTCCTCAGCTCCCTTTGCCTCTTGCCTCCACGGCACTATGCCATCACAATGACTCCCTGTCCCTGCTGCTCGTGGAAGGGGTCCAAATCGTAACCTGCTGTTTGCTCCCAGCCATCACACAAGCCCTTCACCAGAAAAATTCAATTTCCCATCTGACAACGACACAAACAGCTTAGATAAGGATATTTCAGCTCCTCCAGTACTAGTATCACTGATAAAATGTCGCCAATGTGCTGCAGCACCTGGAATCAATAAACAGAGTGACTTGGAGGTCTGGGAGTTGTCAGATGAGGATATAATTGGTGAGTCCTTTGCATTTTAACTTCAAAAAAGATTGTAAATTCTTTTGTATAGCTGCTGCCAAGACAACGTGGCGTTCTGATGCATATGACCATTATTCAGTCTCCCTCCAGCGTAATTTTGGATCCAAGAGAGAGCCTCTCTCTCTCTCTTATGTGTTTAGATGCAAGTCACGTCCAGATAAGCATCCTGTGGTTGTTCGGCCATGTTCAAAGACTGCAGAAGGTACTAGTAACATGTTGAAAGGGATGAATGCATGTCTTCAGCCACAGGGGATCTCCAAGATGCAACCAAAGGACGACACTCCTATACCATACTTTGTAGCAGGTCATTGAGCTCTACTTGCACAGCGCTGTGCTACCAGTGCACGTCCATTTAACATGGTCTCTGATCCTGACTATCTGAAGGAGGTCCAAATGCTTCGCCCTGGAACTGCAGCTCACAGTCGCAATACGATCAGCTGTGATCTCAATCAAATTTATCTTGACATGTCAATTCATGTTAAGAATTACTTTAAGGTACTGTTTTTTTTTCTTATCCAATAAATTCAAGTTGCTAATGAAAGGACAGTCACTAAACAGTGCTATCCACCTTGTACTTGATGGTTTGACCTCTCCAATTGTCTCATCATATCTTGGGCTTGTTGTGGTTTGGTATCAGAATGGTTCAATTCATCGTGCAATACTGGAATTTATATGGTATGGATAAATAACTTGGTTAGCATCTTAGTTTAAACTGACTCACTTTTTAGCCTCAAACAAAGGCATGATGGAGAGTATTTAGCCCAGGTTGTTTTTGATTGTTTGGAACATTTTGGTCTTACTGAACTGGTGTGCATTTCTTTGATCTCTATTTATCCAATTTCTGATCTTTGGTCAAGCTGTTTTCACTTTGCATGGATAATGCATCAAATTGCGATTCCTTAGCAAGGGTACTTCCTAGGATGATACCAACATTCTGGGGAGAAGATGCTCAGCTTTGCTGTCTGGCTCACATTGTAAATTTCATTGCTAAGGTAATGCTATATATATTTCTCAATATTTTATTAACTCAGCCTCATTTCATTCACAGATATTTATATCCTGCTTTTTCAAAAAACCAAAGCGAAAGAAGAGTGTCAAAGTTGCTGCAAGTACAAAGAATGTGGGTGCAGGATTTTGTCAAGCAGGAGAGGTCGAGGATTTTAGTGAAGGAGAGGAAATTGTTCTTGAACAGGGTGATGATTCAGACGATGAGGAGGAGATTGCAGTCATTGAAGAGGCAGATGTTGAGGAAGATGAAGCAGAGAATGATGAGGGGCAAACGGCAAACAGTACACAATGAAAAGGTGGCAAAGACATTGAGAGAGAAGGCAATTCAGCAAATGGCAGCCAATGGGATTATCATTGACTCAGGAGAAGAAAAAGTAGCTCTTCAGATTTTTCCAAAGGTGAGTTTCATTTCCACCTCCTATGCAGTTTTTAATATCATGCAGGTTGCTGGCCTTGCTCGCCGTGTTCATGATAATGCTGTTCTGAAAGAGAAGTTTGAGAGGTTGGTTTCAGCAGATGAAGAGTTACATGGCCAGCAAAGGGCACTCACCCGATGAGTTCCAACTCGGTGGAATTATGATCTTGCATGCTTGGATGCTCATTTCTATTTCCGCGACATTATTGAGCAACTTACAGCTGTATTATTGAATGGACTACAAGCATATCATTTAACAGAAGAACAATGGGAAATTGCTTCTGATGTGCAAGAGGTTCTCCTGGTATATTTTATTTAGTATTCAAGATTGAAATCTAAATATTCCACTTTACCAGCTTTTTAGTGACATTACAAAAATCTTCTCAGTTGTAGAAACACCACTTGTTGTGGATGTTCTCCCAACTAGTGTTTGGAAGTCCGGTCTCGTGACTGGAAAAAGACCGTAACCAGACTGGACCAAGACCGCAAAAGACCAGACCTGCAGTTACGGTCTTTTATTTTTGAAATGTAAAGACCGCAAAAAAACCGGTTAACGTGAACCGGTCTTGACCGGTTTGGACCGGTCTTTTGTATCCCCTTAAATACCCTTTAAAACGCACCCAAGAACGTACGATTTGGTAAAAAAACGAGAGAGATATGAATTAAAATGTAAATTACTTTTGGGAATAATAGATGTACCAGACTTATTTTATAGAAGCACCAATTCCTAACGGAATTTAACGTTCTTATGCTCGTTTTGAAGCTATTAGAGATGTTAATAAATTTACAAATTCATAATTTTAAAATATTGGCCTAAAGACCGGTCATAAACCGGTTAAAACTGATGCAGACCGAAACCGGTCTATAGACCGCAAAAAACCGCGGTCTGTGGTCTTTTTGCGGTCCGGTCTGGTCTTTTGACTTCTGGGGAAAAGGCAGACCGGTTACGGTTACGGTTAATGCCCCTGGGCATCAAAAAACCGGACCGAACCGGACTTTCAAACACTACTCCCAACTCTAGAAACCTTACGTGAAGGGCTGATTGCTGCAAGAGATGATCAGGAGAACAACCCTGCCAATGTTGTCTGGGTTGCTTGTCATGCTGCAGTTCTTCTTGTTGATAAGTATTCTGCCTTTTCTGGAACCTGTGATATTTACATAGTCGCCATTGGTAAGAATCCAGCTTGATCTCTACATTTATTTCTTATATATTCACCAGTGATGTGTCCTGATTGCAAACTCAAATGGTTTCAAGACCATGGTCGTGACCTCCAACAAATCAAGTCCATAAAAAGTATAGTATGTGATTACTGGGACAGTGTATATGCAGGTGAAGAGGAGAATGAGCTGAGAGAGGAGGAAAACAAGGCAATTGGTAAAAATATCCTTGAAATCCTGTTATTGAATTGAATTTTTAGCCAAGCGATCACGATATGCACCAAAAGAAAATCAGTTTGTTAAGGACCACATTCAAACTTACCTTGATGAACCCAGGGTAGCAACGGAAACAATCAAGGAAATGGGAGGTTATATGATGTACTGGCACAATGCATCACAGTCCCGACCATGACTCTCATGAATGGGTTCTGATTTCTGCTCAGCCCCAGGTAAGCACCATTATTCACACTCATTTTCCTTTATTTTCAACAATTGTTGCAGCTACTTCTGTGGATGCAGAGCGAGCATTCTCCACTGGTCGCCATCAGATCAATTTCACCCAGCACAATATCAACTCTCAAACATTCAGAGCAGAAATGGCTCTTGGATCCTGGATTAAATCCCCCCTCTACCCAGGCTTCAATAAAGTTACAAAAATGATTGAAAAAAAGATGGACAATGATTTCTTTTCCTCTTGAATAGCTTTTTGTAACACTTTATGTCACCAAAATTGTTCTTTCAATACCTCTACCTAAATATCAAGTTTCAGAGTGGCCCAGGCATGCTAATACACACCCCAAAACACACTCTGTGATCAAGGCTCAGTCACATCAGCATTATATGAGGGGAAAGACCTCAAATTACAATATATGGATAACTTTAGTTTTAATGTACTCAATTTAGATAATATATGAATGAATTTTGTTTGAATATGAATTCTTCTGAATTTTCGCTTCATAACGCAATTTTTTTTTTGTAAAGAACAGATGAGAAATGAATGAGATACACCCATTTATATAACTGAAGCTATGTCCTCAGCCACTCAGGCCATTTTACCCACGGATATATCTGTACTGTGCCTTACTGTCATGTCACCCCTAACAGGTCATCAGCACTAATGGGTCAACAAGCTATAGCACCACAACGATCCATGCTATGCATTTGAAATTTTGAACAGAGTTTGACAATGTACATGCGGCTGTGTGTGGAGATTTATTGGATAGAACGTTGAGCATGAGCTGAGATATAAGGGAGGTAAGATGGTCACATTGTTGTTTTGCCAAGTTTGCCCATCAAAGCAAGTCTATCTAATTGACGACCATTTCTCTCCACAGTGCTAGCCTCTATTGACACAAATATTTTTGAGAGTTTACAGTGGAGGTATTGGTAACTCACACACAAAATTTTAAATCAGATAAGGAGAATATGGGGTGTCTAAGAATATTTTACGGTTGGCTTATGGGGGCTGACCAATTCAGGGCAAACGGGTCAAGGCATTTTAACACTACCCAAAGCATCCCTCCAAAATAAAACTTACAGATACAATATGTATACGTTTCCTCCTACTCACTCGCAAAATTTTATGTGCTCCCAATGAGAGGGAGGTGTGCAATCTGCAATTTAAGCTAAAGTGACCCAGTAATGGTCACATGACAGTATCTGGTACGGTTAATACCCAGGTGTATCCATGACAGTCCCTACTCCAGATGAAAATGCAGGTGACAGCCTTCAAGTAGTGGATGATGGATCTAGCAAACTGCCTTGATATGTTCCTCCCCCAATATCGAACGGCCACGCAATTCCCCATTTTTCAAACCTCTGGCCTCTCCGCTGGAAATTTGTAAGATTATTTTGCTGAATCTCCGCTGTAGCGTTCACTTGGTGGCAGTGGTCAGCGTGGCAAACTGTCCGGGAGCTCCAAGACTCAAATCTCTATTTGGTCGCCCGGGCCCCCGCCCCTTGCCCCTAATCTTACTGTTCCTACTCAAGCCGAAGTTCGAACTGGGATGTGACCCTTTTTGGTGCAGCCCTCTGCTCACTGCTTTCTCTCAGACACGACCACGATTAGGTTGGTTGACGCACGATTCAACGCACAAGAGACGATGGCTTTGCTGTCATCTCACTCTATTTTGTCCCTTTCGAACCCTTTCTCTTGTGTCTTTACAGTAATGAACTTGGGCGTCAGTAGACTTGTGGAGGTTGACTTTCAAATATCATACAAGTTTCCGTTACCATTTTTAAAAAATTGGTGGAGATAGCGCCGGCCAAAAAAAACCACAAGCGATGTGTGAGAGCTACTCAATTCCACGAGCTGGTCTTCACAGATATACACCGACAGGACACGTAAATCTAGCGTGGGATCCACTAGCGAGAGAATAAAACACGAAAGCGAGAGGGAAAACAAATATATCGCCGAGTTTACATGTCATAAACGACCCGAGCGCCAACCCAAGGATATCCATAATTATGTTGGTAGAAATTCCTCACAGTTCTACGACCTGCGAGACGAGGTATGGTGGCATATGATGCGCCAAGCTAGAAGCCGGCGAGTAGATTAGGGCGACGAGCAAGGACAGTAGCGGCAAATGTAAACTTACGACAACTTGGTGTTTCGTGTCAAAGAAGTCGGTGGAGTATCTACATAACAAGAAGCTCATGGTCAGAAGAGGCAAGTGACAGCAAATAGATTAACTGACCCTCTAAAAAGGTTTGTGGGTGCAAGCCCCTGATGCCCATCGAAAACAGTCGACGTCCATTCCCAGACGCCACCATTTGAGCCCTTGCCTCCATAAGTATCCACGCCCGTAGTGGCGCTGAAACATAAAGCCGATTAATTTCCTTGTATATTTTGGGATGAAGTATGCTTACGGAACTGGATTCCAATTTCTGAAACCCAAATTGGCACCACCAGCGTGCCTGACATCATAGGTGTCGAGGAACAACCGCAACTCCGGTTCGCTCGGCAACCGACCGCCTTTGTGACGGGCATACATGAGTAGATCGTCATATGAGGTAAGGACAGGCCAATCCGCTGCAACCGCAATAAGCACTAGCCCATAGAGAGTTCGAATCTGAAAGTATTGAGCACCAGTTTCATCGAGTTCAAGGGTAAACAGTGCACCTTGATACCGCCATCATCCTCTACCCAACTCTTTGGTAGGCCGACAAAATTCTTTCCCTGATTGTTTCTGTATATCTCAAATTCCTTGTTCGTCACAGGCCGCCATTCAGCTCTGAAAGCGCCAACCTCGATCGCCCGAGCGGGACTTCCATTGTCCCAACCAAAGGTGTGGCCAATGACATCTTGCGTGGTTCTAGGAATATCGTCCTCTGCTTCTGAGTCGTCGTGTCTGAGTGTGATTGTTGCGGGACCAACTATAACATCAGGGAAGCAGGGCAAAGGAATTGATTTCCATTGTTGAATGAGTTGCCAGTTCAGCACGGTAAATCCTGGTAGAGGGCGTGTGCCGGAACCGGCTCGCTGGATCAACATGTACAAGAGTGTCTGGCGGAAAAAATTAGGCGCAGTAAATTCATTGTTGGCAATAAACTCACCTCAACATGAAAGCCTTCATGCTCGAGTGTCATGACCAGCATTCTGGCAATATTTCTGGTGAGAGCGTGCCTGCCAGACTGCAGCTCAACGTAAAGCTTTGCAAGTTGAGCATGAACACCGTTCCGAAACATGAGAATGGAGTCCAAGCTTGGCCAGTCTTCATCTTTTTCTGGTACTTCCGAGTGATTCTTGAAAGGATACGGCATTTGTGTTAGTTGCCTCAAAATTTTCAAGCGAGGGAAGAAGCGCTGACATAACAGTGGTCAGGATCATCGACGTGGGGGTCTATTCCCCTCTAGTATAGCGTTTAGCAGCCTAGCTTTTTTTTGAATCGAAAAGGTGGGCATACCTCAAATATATTCCAAAAGTGCTTTGGTTCTGTTGGCGAGCCACCGATCGTTTTGGAAAGCAACATGTCCAAAACCTGTCATCGACATGAGACTGAATATGTGAGATTAAATAAGTGACTCCTTACGTGGGGATATGACCGATATAAAATAAACACTTGTGACGAAGATCGATCGGTTTCTCGTGAATCATTTCCTGTGGTATCATTTGAAGGGTAATAAGATCCCATGCTGACCAGAGTGTTTTCCACTCTTCCATCGTTGGAATATTTCCTTGGATCAGCTTTCCATTGAGAATGAGAGCTGGCATAAACGAAATTGGGGGGAAGACAAATGTAGGCCGCTCGAGAATGTAAATTGTGGCATTTCCAGCTGATAACGAGACTGAGAAGGAAGACCGGAGAGAGACTTGGGAAAACATTCCAAGATGGCTCGCGTTCATTGGTTCAGTGGGTAGAGCACCAAGCTAATCAAAATAGCTGCTGTTAAACAAGGAAGGCGATTGAGTGTCAAGGTACTTACTTGATATTTGAAGTAATCTTGATTAAATATAGTGGAGACGAAATACTTGACGACACAGTTGTCCCCAACATTCAGCAGCTGAGCGGTCCAGGTGCCGTCACCATGTATAGCGCGGTAACGGTCGGCAGTCGAATGAGCTAATATCACTCCCAAGCAGCCTCCCGACGCATGCTTTTCAAAAGCACTGTTAATAGCATGGGGGACGACTGAAATCTTCGGGAGAAGGACACAGGTAGTGGGGTAGTAAGATGATAACCAGCCCGAGGGGTCTCCAAAATCGGATGAGGGTGTCGTAGAGCGGGAATTTGATTGAGAGGAATATGTGCTGAAGAAGGAGGAAGAGGTAATAGTGGTAGCCATGTCCTCGTGCGGGGAACTATACGTGATATGGAGGGTCGACCGATATATATATAGCGTTTTCAGCAAGCGTGCGCTTGGAGGCGGGGAGCGGGTGTGGCATTGGTGCTGTGCTTTCTCTTCGCGAAGCAGGACTATGATGGATTTATTCGACTTCTGCACAGTTTGCCACCGGATTTTTCCGCACCCACCACAGGGCCGACATGCCCCCATGTTAAGATTCAGAGGCCGACCTCCAGGAAATTCTTGATCTCCTTCTTCTAGTCTTGAATTATCGGTATATTCATTCTGCCAAGAAAGTTGACCCACTACGACCATAGTGGCTGGAAGGAGAAATCGGTGGATTTCACCTTTATCTAGTGGAGTTCCCTTGTGGCGGCGATTGGCAGCATTCTATAACTCGTTGGAATTTGACACGGAAAATCTTCAGGGCCATGTTGCGACATAACGCGATAGAGTTGCATCTTATTTTCCATCCCGACTTATCACCAGCTAACACAGCCCAACTCCCACTGTACGGTTCCAAGAACCTCACTCAAGCTCTCTTCGGCGTGGGTTTTACAAATGGCAGAGAATCCCACTGCATGTAAGGATCACATGGGTACACCACTCCTGCATTCGAAGGCAAGAAGGCACAGCGCGATTCAGTTGAAATTGACGTCGCCTGTAAGGTACGTTCCACTTGATGTCGTATTCCTCGACATTAACCGTGCTGCCTCGTTCTCGGGCTTCATACCTTGTGATCCCATTGTGGGCGAAGTTGGTTCTACTTCAACCTCGGCATGGACGACTCCTGTTTCCAGAAGGAATCGAGTGAAATCATATCCGACCACATTATACCCCTCTTCGGAGCGGATATCTTAGTGCCCACCAAGCGCGATCCGACTAAAGTTAGGCAACTCTAAGCGATAAGAAAGACCATTAGTCATTCCAACATGGGTAAAGTGGATGAAGTACCGTACCTTGTATTCCTTTTCTTCCGCGACGCCGGGCCAAACTTGACCTCCTCGCAAAGCAAACAGAAGTTGGGATCATGGCTTCACAGCCCCAAATGGTCAAGTCGGCATCAAGTCCCAATCAAGGCCGTACAGGCAATGTCGGACGTTGGGGTTGTAACCAGGCTCCGCTCGCGATAGGCCAATGCATTTCATAATCTTGTGCTCGCCCTCTCCGGGGACCGAAGCTGGTCAGATAAAGGCGCCATAGCTGGCGTCCTTGATGAAGGTTGTTAGTGGTATGCAAGCCGAGCATGACGAAGTAAGAAATGTTCGGCACGTGTTTAGGCGAAGAAAGAGGAAGAAATGGTGGAAGTAGCTTCAGTCCAGGGGTCAGTGACTAGATCTCTTCTGGACATATGTGTGCAAGAAGAGTTGTGGGAAAGCAGACGACCGCGATTGTGAGGGGAAAGACATACAACGTGAGCATGAAAAAGGAGAAGATCCAGGATAGGGAAAAAGTTACGTCTCCGGCGGGGAAGGAAGAAATATGGGTTAAAAGAAAAGGGTTGAAACCAAAACAGAACGCTGAAAGTCACTTGGTGGGATGACGTGGCTAGCTGGACCAAGAAGATGGATTGAGACTTACCCGGTGTGATACAGTTACTATCAAACACCTTCTCCGTCTGCGGGTTCTAAAACGTCTGCTGCGTTGTTAATTCATCTTCGCCCTCGGCGCCACCCCATCCACTGCCAGGAAGAGGAATTTCTTCGGCTTGATCTTGCCAAAAAGATGATCCATGTATGTGAATATTGAACTCAAGATCTGCTCTTCTAAAAGTCGGAAATGGGCGTCCTCATCGTTCGTTTGGGTGAGAATAGTCAGAGGGGACATCAGAATCGGATTGAGGAAGGGTTCACCTCGATATTATTCTAGTGGGGGCGTGTTGGAACTATTCGTTAGCCATGCCGCGAATTAGAGGGTTAGGATGGTTGGACCAATTGGACACTTACCCTAGCGAGAAAGTCGAGTTGAAGTTTGAACAGAGGTTACTGATTGGTCAGCAAGGTTGGCGGAGGTGATGGTCGTCAAGAACAACATCGACGTTGATCAACGGTTGGCTTCATCATCCAAGTCACCAGGACAGTCAATGAGCCGCGTCGATTTATTAGAAAAAGACTATAAAGTGAGTATCTTGTCTGTCTAAACGACCCCTCTCCACTGAACGACTAGCATTTTAATGCGACAGACCTTGAAACTACTCAGAAGCACCTTGCTATTGGGATGGTATTTGTTCGAGATCCAGTTGTGGATGGGATCGTAAGAATAGCAGACGCAGTGTAAGTTTTGAAGGTGCATTAGTCCCCAGCTCGTTCCTACCAACATTTGCTAACCTCCGTCTTCAGAGGCGCGAATACGGTATAACGGCAGGCACTGTGGCGTGCCGTTTTTGACGCCTTGTTAAACTTTTCAGCACAAGCCCCTCGTTTCCTACACACTCTGTCACTCCTTGTCCCAGCATTGCATACAGTCGTGGACAAGCAAAGCCCACTAATTTGGTATCTTGGTAAATAATGTATCTAGAGCTGAGATTTTTCCAGATTCTGGCTCAGATTTGCGAAATGCGTCGAAAAACGCACCTCCGAAGTTTTTCCCATGAGGAATTGGCGTGGCCAAAATTTTGGACCAAAAAACTGCAACATTTGGGGAGAAAAACAGGTCGAAACCGGCCAGAAATTATCGAAAGTTGGTACCTGTGCTGGGCTTTGGCTGGAAGCTACTCAGAAAGGGCAAAGAATCTATCAGAAAGGGATTTCCCTGCATTTCGAAAGCCTAGTGTGATGGAATTTCTTAGTCCCGTGATAGATGTCACATCAAAAAGTGACTAAGTGCCCAATTTGGGTCAATGTTTGGCAAATTTTTCAGAAGAACCGCTCGATAAATTGTTTCGAAACTTGATGGGCAGATTGTTCTCCGTGAAAGGAAGCGATTCCGCTATTTTTCATATTTTTCTTGGCACTTTTTGGTGTCCGGCCAAAAATTTAGGGTCTATTTTTGTATATGGCCATTTTCTCCAAAACGGCTCGTGAGACTTGGCTGAAATTTGGCCAGAAGCTTCCCTCAACGTATCTGCACGTTTTCCGGGCACTTTGGTAGTCATCAATAATTTCCATTTTTATTAGTGGGCTTTGCTTGTACACGACGATTATGTTGCACCCATACCCGACCCTTGTGAATCCGGGCGCTTTCTCCGAGGTACGCCCTGTTTCATCCATAGGATAAGCCTGAACCCACGTTCCGATGAGTAGGAGATGACCGTGACGATGGCGCGTCCTTCTAATGGCAACGGCACGACTTCAACCGGAGTCATTCAACTATCTACCTCATGCTTACCTAGCCTCCTTCCCTCGGTGCCCTCTTCTGCCATCGGCCCCTCGGGGTTTTCCTAGCGGGAAGCTGCCCTTCGCTTCTATGATATGAGGGTGTATACTCGGCATCAGTCTCAATACGACGCCTTGACGTCGAAAAAATGCGATCTCAAGCTCAAAGGCAACCTCGTCCCCAAGTGGTGTCTATTCACTCAAAATTCCCACCTCTATCTCTGTAACTAAGTGGTTATTTAACCGCATTACTGAACGTGGCCACCACCATGGGTTCAGCATCGACTACGGTTTGTGACCGACGAAAAGTGCAGGTTTGAAACATGAGGTGAAGTATTGATTTCATTCGGGTTTCCCCTGCGTCAGTTGTTTAACGAATCATTTATACGGCATCACAGCAATCATACACATCAATGCGGTGACATGCTCCTCGATTGTTACTTTAGTTTTGAAGCTGTCGCAAATCGGGTTCCCTTCAGTGATTCAACACTTCGTGTAACACTCCCCTCAGTATGGTTATAAATCCCCACCCCTTGACAGTCTGCTGATTGGAAACTCTAGTTGCTGTATCATGCTGACAATTACATTCCATGAATGTCGGGTGGATTTATGTTTCGATCAAACTACCTCACTACTTCTCAGCGTCTTCCACTATGACATTAGCACCTTGGCCTTACGCAAAAGTGCGATCTTCGCCTTGCGTCGACTAAAACGTGTTTTCATTTTCCAGTGTGAATCTTTTGGCCACGCTCGTAAGTCTTGTCATTGAATACGCAGTCTACAGTGAACAGTAGGCAACTCCTTTGTTGCGGGTGATGATAGTCGATCTCCCTTTCATGGAGGTGATCAGGTCCTCTATCCCGTTTTTCAAGGATCAGATTGGAACCTGATGTTACGACGTCATGAGCATCGTTTGACAGGAAGGATGGAAGTTGAAACAATTCAAATCGAAAGTAATTCTACTCTTGACATCCCTTGGGTTCCCCTACCGTGGAATTTAACGAAGGAGGCCGTTGTTTCTCACTCAAGAGCGTAACTTTGACTTACGCTGACTTGAAATAGACCATGCACATACGTTGAACAATTGACGTCACTTCCGTCTCGAGCGGAGGCGTTTCTTATCACGGACCGGCCGTCGCATCTTCAGTTGGAGAAGTCATGAATTCTCGCGGTCTTACAGCGCGCTTTCATCCCTCACTCCTATAAAGCTCATCGCACCATTCCGTCTGATTTCCTATACCTCGGCAAACGTACATGGTGTCAAGAGAGACTGTAATCGATATAAATCAACTTGTGGAGTACGTTGACGCCATGAGGCTGGTCACGGTGCGAGCATCATCTTCCTTAAAGCTTACCAACTAATTATCCTAGTGTTTCAATAGTGGGTCGTCTCTGAACTTCATCCGATCGGCATACTGGTAACTGAACTAGTTGTTGCGCAGTCTCCGCGGCGGCGATGTTGGTGTATGACTATTTCTTGACATTGAGAATGGAGGTGGATTTGGTATGGTTGTCAGCGTGGGGCCCCATGAAGGTCTTGTTCATTGTTCAGCGATACCTTCCCTTTATAGATGCAGCTACCTTCACCCTTGTCCGTAAGTGAAAGTTCGGCCTGGTTCATGATCCTATCCTGATTTTCGGAATCATCACAGACCAGTCATCGACGACGATTAACCCGTCGGTCTGCAATAAAATTGAGAAAGCTCAGGGTGGTACGTCCCTCCCTCGCATATTTATTGTATTCGTTTCTTGAAGCCCCATTGTCCTTTAGTACTCAGCGTCACTGGTTTTATTCTATCCGAAAGTCCGTCTAATTATTAAATTCATGTTGATCGGACATTGATGAGTGTCGTTCTAGTCATTCTAACACTACGCGTATGGGCAGTGTGGAAACGAAGCAAGTTTTTAGGAATCGCGCTATCAATACTTCTCCTTGCCACTGCGGCTGCATGCTACGTTTTCACTGGCCTTTTTCAACATGGCCTAAAATGTGCGTTGAATCAATCAACTGATCTTTCCCCCTTTTCGAACTGGTCAATAATCGATACCTAAGTGAGCAATAGACCATATCCCGAATTTCCGGGGTGTTTTATTACGGGCACAAATCGGTTGGTATATGTGAACTGGCTCGCTTTGATGGTATATGACTCAGGTAAGTGCGAAAAAAATCCTAAAACAGAAATTATTTGACGACGGCCCTAGTTCTCCTCGTCGTGATGATCATCCCCGGAATTACGGCCTGTCCGTCCTTATCTTTGTGAAGAATATCTTTACTTCATGATGCTGTTTAAGACCGAGAGCAAGGGAATGAAGGCCTTCATGCGGTTGTCTATCGCGATGGTAAGCAAGCCCCAGAAATATTGCCAACTTACTCGTTTGACGGGACCGTAGGCGTCGTGTTTTATGTCTATCTCTTTGGTAAAATGAAATCGACAGCGTGCTTGATGATGCCGTCCTTACCATACATACTCATGCAGTTTTATCCGTTACCAACGTAATCGTAATAAACGCGCTGCCGGTGGGTTGATTTGATTACTCACAAAAAGAACATGGACTAACGTTGCATCAATAGGCAAAATATCTTTATATCCTTATGTCGTACGTTCCAGATTTCGTATCAGTACTGAAGAGTGCTTATGATTTGAAAATTAAGTGTGGAACGATGCCTACATTCCGCGTTGACGAGCAGGGTGATTTTGCACATCAGGGACCACATAAGGAATATGATCCCACTTTTCTCTGATGGTATCACGGATATCCAGTTCGCTTCCTTTGCGGAGGACGAGATTTAGAAGGGGAGTTTGATAGCGGGCCCGTGAGGCTTATCACTACATTAGTGCTCACTGACTACTTGCTGAATACGAACAGATTTCCTTGAGATTTCTCTTGCTATTGCCTGTCCCAAAGAGTCACGTGATAATAACGTGGTTACCCTGTTATCATTCTGCTTCGCGACAGAACTTGCAATAATAATCCCAGTTTCTCTCAAAGCCTTATTTCCTGCTGCTTCAAAAAAATGGATAAATTATACATTGTGTCCAAAAATGCTGTCCAAATTGCCAAGACGTCGCCGTCGTCCATAATTCTACGGGTGTAGCGGAACACATTCGCACTGTTCTAAATAGTTATATGGATGGTAGTAGCGTATCCCGCAAAGCCTTTCTGTTTCACGGTCCATGTCGAAAAACATTTGTGTAGTCACCCACCGAAGCGGTGCATCACCTAGAGTAAAATGGACGAAACATTAGTGATTAAACGAAATAGTTGACTCAACACTCACCCCAACGCCATTTGTAAAATCCCTCTGGGTACTGAACGAGATGATAGAACCATTCCTTTACCTCTGGCTTTCTAAACTCCTCCAGCTTCACAATTTCGAAATTGTTGTAATAGCCAGATACCGGCACGTCGTCCAGATCGACGTCACCGGTAGGCCATTTCCATGTTTTGCTAGCGTTCAACTGTGATTCGACTTCAGGATGTGAATCGGCGTAATCGCGTATGAAACGCCACAGTCCCTTGGTCACTACAGGTGCGTCATTCCCAATCCCAAGGTATCCATACGAGCGTTGGCGAGCGTGCATGACCTCGAAGGGATCGTAGCAGAGTGGTTCAAGGAAGAGAGAATCGGTATCCATACGTAGGTAGTACGTGACGTCTTGTAAGCGTGGATTGAAAAATATTTTTGTCGAGTAGAACGCACACATGTGATGATATCCTGTGCAACGCAAAGAGTGGTTTATAAAGGTGGAGGGGGAGTGAATGAGTGATAAAGCAAAGGAGTAAGTTAGTGTGGGACGTACCAGGCCATGAGCTTGGAGAAACCGGATCGAGTTCCTCCTTGGTATGCGGTATCCCCTCTGGAAGCACCCAATCAAGCTTAACGAATTCTACTCGATCACTAAAATCCCTTTGCGAGCGGTTGGACTGTCCTCCAATTTTCTCGCGAAGGCTGGCCAGAAAGTCATCCTGAACAGGTGTATCGTCGAAATCTCCAGTGTGAAAGAGGATGATGGGCCATGGATCGCGGAGCGGCAGATACACATTTACAGATGCCAACGATCCCAGTAGCTCGTCTGCGTGAGATAACCGAACAAGATAAATGATAGCAACGGTGTATGGGGGATGAGGCGTTTGTGAGGTGATGAAAGGGGAGAATTTTGATAAAGTAGCCTTGAAGGGTGGGTGATAGGAAGATAGGAGGGTGAATGAAATAAATAAAAGGAAGAAAGAAACCACCACCGCTCTTGTCAATGCGTACCGGGGCGCAGACGAAGGTATGGCCATGGTGGTAATGTCGTGGACTGTGGCAAGGAGGGTTATGGTGTTACGTGATAGAGAGTGCTTCCATCGCGTGAATAGGGTAATCGTGCGAGTCAGATGTCATTTTGGGCGCTCTGTTCGGCTCATTGCAAAGATAAGACCAAACTCAATTGCAAAGTGATCGCGGAACGTGGATGTCGGATTTAGGTGGGGTTTGCGCCCCACGCGTCAAGTTGTTTTTCATGCACCTATACGTAACGGCGTGAAGCCAGAAGATGTTAAGTAGAAATGGTAAAGAGATCCCAAATGTCGACGACCTTGTGACGACGACAGGCAGACACGATGGATTCACGATAGGGGTTGGGTCAGAGGACTTGGGGAGCGGCGACTCAAAGCTGATGAACACAAGATGAGTTAGGTTTCCGTTGGAGACTGATCTGGGTGTGAATATGTCAAGAGTGGAACACGTGTGGAGGTACTGGACATCGAAGACTGAATATAATATATCATGAAATGTTAGAGTCACACTGAAGGCAATAGCAGACTCTGACTCACCTGGTAAGGCCTTAAGGGCCTCTCCCAGAACCAAACCCCAGGGACCCATCTCGTGCGGTAGTGGCGTGTGCGGCTCTCAGTGTCGCCATCGCCGAAGAAGAGATGTTGATGAGTTTGTGATCGTCGACGCAGCACGTGGCTTGTCACTGCCAGTGTTTGTCACTGTTTGAGGCAAGTTTGAGGGCCAAAATCAAAGCGTTCAACAGTCCAGTGACTAGTGAAGCGGGATGACTGGGGGGGTCGTGGAGCGTCCGAGGTGCAACATGCCAAAAAGGGAGGAGCAGTTTTTTCGGAGCGCGCACGAGTCTCTCGCTTAAGCCTCAGCCGTTTTCTTGTCGTTTTCAAGCTCAAGCTTCAAAATTAAGGAAGCGGGGCTCTCAATTTACGATGCTGAGTCCTGTGGCATTGTGTTCCATTACATCTCAAGTATTTTAACGTTCAAACATTGGCCATATGCGACTTTCTTGAAAACCTAACAAAGCTTTGAATGGTCGAAGTGCAGTTTCCACGATAGCGCTGCAAAAGAGATTATAAAATTCAAGTTGAAGGTAGAGCTTCAGCAACGGTCAGACGAAAACTACGACAATTACATATTTACAGTGACACCAGGCGCCATTGTCAAATTCAGGGTGTTACATGCCTCACCGCGCTCTCAGCTGCACGAACTGTTGCTCCAAGATCAAGGTGGAAAAATGGGGTATCCGATGGAACCACCGGCTTCCACTCCACAGTTCCCGACTGGCGATGAAGTTTCACAACCTCCGTCGCCTCCAAATCATCTTTACTGTACTGGCTTGAGAGTCGGCTCTCGTTGTACGGAGCGACGGAGGCGAGGTCCGGCGTAACTCAGAGTTTGGAATACCTATTCGGAACCCACCCGTCACGAGAGCGCGTCTAATCCAGGGTGACATGATGGGTGCGAAGTGGAACTGAGGTAAGGTCGTTAGTATTGCGAATGGGAGCTAGTGTGTGACGAACCTCTACGGGGTGATCGACCCACTTTTCGACGACGGTGCGGATATCGATGAGCCCTTGGACGGCAGTAGTATCTACATGGGACCTGTAATAAACTCAGAAAAATGGTACAAGAAAGTGAATCAGAATCATACACTGCAGAAAAATCGAGGACTATGGCGTGTAGAATGGGTTTTTCCAAATTTGCGCTCTGTTCGCTCTCGTAATCGCCAGCACGCCTGGGACCCGGATCATTCCAAGGACGGTCAGCAGCTTTGACAGACATGTCCTTCCCACGTCTGAACTTCGCCTTGACGTAGTCCACAATTGCAGTGTAGACGATATGGGAGTTAGGGTATACAAAGCTCTCCTCGAGGTTATAGATTAGCACTCCAGGTGAGGAAGCTTCGACCTTGACGTGTGGATTCATGATGCCATCTTTGGTGAGCGGTAAATAGACCTCTCGATCAACAGTAGATCCAGAAGGCCGGACGGTGACTTTGCCTAGGAACGCCCCTCGAGGGCGTGCGACCCGAATTAAGAGCAACGCGAGGGAAGCGGAAATGGATATGTAAATTCCGTTTTCGATGGATGAAAAAACGGTGACGAGGACATGCCCAAATGAAAAACTCCAGGGGCGAAACGCGCCAGTAGGAGTAGACCTAAAATGACAGGGATAAATAAGTGTCTTGAGCCTGAGATGATGAACAAGTCTGACCCGTGCAGGAGACGCTACAAAATCAGCGACTGCGTGAATGATGATAGCGGACAGGCCTGCAGTTGGAATCCAGAAGAACGCAGGGGTAAGGCCATACAAAGCAACAACGACGACGACGGCGGTGTATACACCAGCCAAAGGTGTACGAACACCCGACTTGGACTTGAGCGCTGAATGAGAGAAAGACGCAGTCGCTGGATAAGCGCCAAAGCAAGATCCAACCGTATTTGTAACGCCGATCGCAATCAGCTCTTGGTTCGGATCGATCTTGTAACTGTTTAACCGCCCGAAAGCTGTGGAGATGAATGAGCGCTTTTTCCCATAAGACACTGTGACCTTCTCACATTTCGAAATGGCGATATGCTCCAAGAAGAGAATGATCGTCGCGACGGGAAGCTTGGGTGCTAATGCTGAAATAAGTTTGCGAGTGATGATTGGCTGCCTCACCACCTTGAACCCAGAAGGAACTGTCAATAAGATCTTGATGGGATAATTCCCATCCACTTTTCTGTGCCGGCAGTACAGCCAAGCGGCCAGCGTCAAGATAATCATTACAAAGGCGTTCCGAAACACACTGATGAAGAACAATATGCGGGTTGAGACTATTTCAAGTTGTAAGCGCGGTGGAGCATGGTGCGGCAAGACATACCGCGACGTGGGAACCGCCCTTCAAGTCTCAGACAGGTGTAGCGAATGGCAGACATTGATTGCGGAACGACAACTATGCCCACCGTCAACCCCGCTATCAAGTCACCATAAAGCCATTCTGGATCTGTGGAGAGAATATGGGCGTGAAATCGAAGCCAGGAAGAACGTGGAGAATGACAAACTGTAGCGAGTAATCCAACCAAGGATTGGAAACAAGCTCAAGAGGTAGGCTTTGACCTATAGCGAATTAGAAACGGAATCAAGTAGGATGGTATACATACAGGTTTAGCAGGGTTCGAGGACAAGGGCTTAAGCCACTCCGTTACGGAAGCCACACCAGCAGTTTCCTCTGGGTAGTCGATGATTCGCTTCCCCAAGCGCTTGACTGAGGAAAGAGACATAGCTGCTGTAAGGCAGGTTTGACTGTTTCTAGCGGGTGGCTTTTATGGATGGGAACTTGTGGCATGACTAGGTGGAGTAAAAGCCTCCTTTCCCTGAATGCAATGCGATATGCAAAAGGCTCTGCTCGATGATGGCGCAATCTGCGGACTTTGAAAACCTAAATTGAGCCAAGCAACAAGTTGTTCTAATTATAACCTTCTACACTCTTCACATGAACAAAACACTCGATGGAGGGAATCGTTGGAGGACCCCGGAAAATAGGGGAGCCCTGATCCTGAAAAGGCACCTTTTGTCTGGAGAGCTCCGTCAATGTGTCCTGGTGGAGAGGTGCCGAGTGACTCAGAGGGAATGCATAGACACAGACGACATGGTGGTAGGACTGGAGAACCTACAAACACGACGTGACATGTAAATGTGTATGTAATGACCCTCTGACACCTATGCAAGACCCCGAACACCAGGGGGATGGAGTATGCATCTGCCAGGATGCACTACTCCACTGGATTTCGCCTGGCCTCGTCAAAACTCTCATTCGGATGGGCAGGATCTGACCTGAAATCGCCTCAGAAGGGCACCAATCGAGAATAACAGGGGTCACCCAGTGGCCTCGACTAGTTGAAATACCCATCAAGCCACGAAGGAAAATCATGGGAGCACTCCGTACCTGCTGGATATCATTCCGATCTTGGAGTGGGAGTTCTTTATGGAAGTTGCCGCTGCTGTCCACTAATTCGTACTCATAACCGACGAGGAACATAGCGAGGATGAGCTTCATCTCCAATTTTGCGATCCTCATTCCAGCGCAGGGATGTCGGCCTGGTTTTACAGACAAAATCAGTCGGAAAGATTATAAAGAATGTAGAGAAACTCACCGACGCCCCACCCGATATAAGTATATGTTTCTTTCTGGTCCTCCTCTTTCCCCTTTGCGAACCTCCCAGGATCGAACTTAGCGGGGTCGGTATAGATGTCCGCGTTCAAGTGAATGTCGGCTAAAGAATAGGTGAGGAAGTCGCCTCTCTTAATAGTAGTATCCGCTAAAAGAATGTCTTTCCCGAGATTTCGACGTATAGCTGCACCAGACGTAGTAGTTCGGATAGTCTCGCGAATGACGAGATCCAGAGCTGGTAATTCCTCTTCCCATGCACTCATGCTTCCGGAGAAAGTCGTATCGCTTCGTGAAGAAAGTCCAGGCTGTGAAAACGGGAATACCGCCGAGATCGTGGACACCAGCTTTGGACTTTGAGGAACGGAGGAGAGTGGCGAGTGTCGTTAGAACACCAATAGCTAGCGCTGTGAGAAAGACCGCACTATAAGTCGGAGGCCATCCTGGGGTCAAGACTGTCGGGTTGGGGGCCGTCATGATTCAATGGGACGAATGGATGGCGGGGGCATTTTATAATTGCGGTTAACCGGCATCTTACTAATTTTGCAAAGTCACTTTGACTTTGAACGTGGACCATTGTTCGAGGTTGGTTCGAGGAGGAACCAAGGAGAAGATGGCATCAGCGCTCGAAATAAATAATGGTGTCATATTGACATCGAGTTCCGGCTCCTACCGCGAAATCGAAGCTGGCCGGCGGCCGCTGGAGAGATATTACGGCTAGCTTCATCTTCAAGGCTGCTGTGGTATTCAACTCTGAATTCCCTCATATTTTTGTGGGATATGTTCATATTGCCAAACCCTATGAGTCGTCGTGGAGTTGGAGGCTAGTCGAAGAAGACACTGGCCGCGTGGAATGATAGAAGTAGTGCTACTTGTATCCATTCGTCTGCGCTTCGATCGCCAGCGGTCACCCGCTTCCGCCACATAAAGGGCTCGTCTTCATAGCTGCACATGTGCATCACTCGACGTCCAACGTCCAACGTTCAACCATACAACTTCAGCTGTCTCCAGTCAAGTGACAGAACATAAGGCGCTTACTCCAGAACCAACTGACAACACTAACGGTAAAGAAACGGAGATGTGGTGGGACGATTGAGAAGTTTATCAGTTGTGTTGGAATGTATACTCCCCTAAACAGAATCAGCAGACGCCACTGGGGATCTGTGAGGACGCACCAGTTTCGGATGATGGTGGGTACGGATGCCTGCAATGGAGACGTTGGATGATGAGAAATTGAAAGGGAGAACAGCAGAACACACGGCTTTGATACGAGACGTTGCCTCTTCTGGTTTTCCTTCAAGAATGCTCATTGATCCGTAGAAGAAGGCAACAGGCACTAAAATGAAAACCATGACATGAGTAAAACACGATTTTGAAGAGGTGAAAGGAATGGGTAGATGATAAAGGAAATTACGGACCTGGCGTGAGGATAGCTTGATCCAGCCAAACCTGGGAATGAGACGAGAAATCGTAAGGAACTTCATGATGGGTATGAATGGACGTACCCGGTACACCAACGCCTTAGTAGGGCTGGGGAATTCGATTCTATTCAGGAAGGAGTACCACGTTGTCATGGCTGGACCAAACAGTGCACCTAGTAAGAAGTCAGCAAAGCCTGACCTTGGATGTACCAAGAAGGAAGTCCACCTCCGTAAAAGCTTAACCTCGCCGTACGAAGGAACTGATAGAAATGAAACAGGGTATTAGTAAGATAGCGGTTTAACGAAATGAAAGCTAGAATAGGGCTCCCGACCGTGGCTAATTCCTCGCTACGCGCCATCCTGTGTCAGCCAAACGTGAGCGCACCAGCCCTTTCGCCATTGCTTCAAACTGCAGAAATACTCACATCATAGTCATTCCCTTTCCCCTCGACAGCCTGCTGCGCTATTATGCCTCCAGCTCCAAATAGTACGGCAGCGGTCTTGCACTACGTGATCATAGGCTTCCGGAGAAGAGCTGAACTGACAGAACCAGGCGATGTGGTTGGTTGGCTCTAAAAATGCGTCGACTAGCGCCGAGAATTGAAGTACTGACTTGTAAGCACCGATTAGCGTGGCCATTCCTGATTTTCCAAGTCTTCACGGTGCTGATTCCCTGTCAGGCCGTTGGTATGGTTGGTCTGGATGGACAAAGTCGAAAAAGAGGTGGTGTGACACGTGTCGACATTCGTCGATCAAAACCACAACAAACCAGAACAAACCCAACTCTTATCTCTGCAGTCTGCAAGACTGCAACCGACAACACCTATCTGGTGAGCCAACCGAATCTTACCCTATATGACATCGCGCAGAAGCTAATACATTTTACCAAGCATTTTTTTTCCCCAATCGATTATCCGAATTACTTATTCAGCACTGACAACGACGCGAACCGTGAATTTGCGCAAACCCATGGCCGTTATGACGGTCCTTGTCTTCCTCGCAATCACATATCACGGTTGAGAAAATTTACTTTGGTCAAGGCCGGGAACAGAACGCGGTGACGAGAAGGCACGAGAGGGCTGAACAAAGGATTTTTGTGTTTGGGTGACCGTTGAATAACATCGCTTCCGATGCAGAACAAGAGTCCAATGCCTGCCTCGGACCCAAACCCTCTGATTCTACTCTACATACAGGCGCGCCCACAATTTGCACTATGTCGTTTGTATGGTAACAATCACCCAAACACAAAATTCCATCTACCAAGTGACCAGCTCGGGCCTTGACAAGATTATGAATATTTCCTGTATATCGCGATCTGTGGCGCCAATGAGTTAGTGTAGATAACTCTCAGGTACATCGTCAAATTCTCGTACCGGGTGCTAAGTACAAAAGAGAGACTTGATAAAGTTCGCAACTTCTCAGTTGATGACGACGCTATACGCAGATCTAATAATTTGGCCCTTTGAGCAAGACTGACTCAGAGAGACAACAAATGGACAGACGCACGTTCTGAAAGTAGCTGTCCCGGAGAATGCTTCAGTGCCCGCCTGAAGTGTCGTTAAGTACTCTGAAGAGCTAATACTTCCACTGCCCGTCAGATACTACCACAGAAATAAATCAGTCTCTTTTAGGAGTAGGGAATTCTGAGATCGTCAACCTTGATAAAGACGTTGAGATCACCACTGAACTTCGTGATAATGGTGCCGTTGGACGGAAGGAACGAATACACATTGTTATAGCCGTTCGAGCCAAGATACAGGTCCCTGGCAGGAGAGGTCCTCAGAAAATATAAGGACAATCACGAGTGTTTTGGGCATACCAGGTATATCCGGCAAGAGAGATACTGTTCGCAAAGGCCACAGCTTTTCCATAGGCGTTGTACGAGAAGGATATAGGACCTGCACTGAAATTCGCGAGCCAGATCATGATTTCATTATGATTGCCCCCTCCTGGAGTCGTTGAAGTGAAAAGATCGAAAGCGACATCCGCAACCACGCTTTCCGACGTGCTTTGCGACCACTTCCACTTAGTCTACAGCGAATTCGAATTAAACATTCGTAATAGAACGGTCATTTGAAAAAAAAACTCACCAGAATGCTGGAGATATTTTCAAGCCCCTTATTCAACCCCTCGTTGAGTTGCATATTCGTATAACTCTTGACGTTAGTACCACTACCACCAGCCCATTTCCACGGGTTCTTCCACGCGATGGTGGTCCCGTTGAAGGACGTAATGGCAGCGCAGCTTGATCCAGAGCTGGCGTCTGATTTACCCCACTGGTCGAGACACAGGGAGTACTGGCCTGCAGTGACGCTGTCCCACTCGCCTGTGGGAGTGTTTTAATGAATAAATATACGGATGAGAGAAATGGCGAAAGGGATAGTCACCACAGTGGGAAGAGGTGTCGAGCGCGTGCACATGGGTGCCTAAGCAGAGGAGGAGGAAGGCGGAAAGGAGTGTGGTCTTGAAGGAGTGCATGGTTTGAATGGAAAAAAATATATCCAGCAGAGAAGAGTCTTGTGCGCAACTCAATGCCGCCTGGTACTATTTATTGGTCTAGAGATCCATTCAATGCGGATAGAGCAAAGGACCATATGGCAACATCTGATACCGAGCCGTCGTCCTGTTTCACACAGAGGGCGCAATTCGCGAAGCCCACGACTGCGGGGAATATTATTTCCTCGCCTGGAAATTGGAAGCGATATTTGCTCATTTTCGTCGTCATGCGGGTAAGCCCAAGCTGAGAGCCGACAAGTGTCCGAAAGGGATCTTGTGAAGGTGCATCAATTCTTGGTTATTTAAATTGAAGACCTTGACGACCTTGCAAAGGGCCAACTGCGATACTATAGAGATTGTCGTAAGGAGAATATCATCCCAATTCAAGTACAGGAACCGAGATAGAACGTTGGGCTTTCAAGACACCGATGCATATTATTGTCCGCTAAAGCACCGTGAAACCGACAACCGAGGGCAAGAAGGACGCTTTAAAGGCGCCGTGAGCGACAAAGTTGGGGAGATGGTGGAAGTCAGGCGCCAGTTAGGTAATAGTTTTTTCGTGTAAGTGTTGTCGCATCGAGTTATGCTGGATGACTAAACTTTCCCCGCAACAGAAAAATGGAGCGCTGATTCAGAAAGGGAAGAGATGTACGAGAAGACCTCAGAGAAGGAATGGGGGTTGTGTACAGTAGTCCACTAGCCACGGCAAAAATTAAAAATCATGGACGACGAGTGGACGGAATAAGTAAGCTGAGGCCAGCGAGACTCGAGAGGATGCTAGCATTGTCTCAACGCCACATTGCGTATTAAGCGAAGAAACGGAATGATTGCGAACCAGTGGTTGGACTTCAGTCAGGAGAAGAACCACGCCAGTAAGGAGTGGAACGAGAAAAATGCACTTCATGAAAGCTTAAGTATGCCCGCTGGCTGGATTGACAAATTGACAGTGACATCATGTGACCAGTTGTTTACTCCCTTCTCGCGTCATGTGATGGAGCGACTTCCTTCAACTTAAGTCACGAAACTACCAAGATGTTCTCCTGTTTGATTATGCGGATGGTATGCTCTCCCTTAGGAGATTCACGGTCGAACAGCATACAAATGAACCAAGTTTGCCTTCTGCAGTCATCCAGGCGTCCGATTCCGCCGCCGCCTTCGAGCGCAGGCGCTTCTGCTTCGACTAGGCCTTCTGCATTGACGAAGATGATGGATATGCCTGAGCTGGAGCTTTCAGCCAAGGAAAGGGTCGTGGCTACGTGGAACTTGCAACGTCGTAGGGATTGGGGTGAGATTAAGAGGTGTTTGGTTGATAGCCAGCGGATGCGTGATTGGGGAGGCTTGGGGGAGAATCTTGAGTAAGTGCATTTCTGGCGTGGACGAAGTGTAGCTGATGAGTCTCACGTGCAGCTGGCTATCTCAGGCTGAGATATCAAACTTTTCAAAGTCCCAGCGCATTCTCCCGCGGTCCCTATACCTCTCCCACCAATTTTCTTTCCATACCTTGGGAGAAGACTACCATGCCCTGGTCCGCAAGGAAGTTGAAGTTAACGATTTCTCTTCTACCACCACGAAAGGCGGTGCCGGAGAATCGTTCGTAGAAGGCAGTTTCTCCTCTTCACCCCGCGACATTCGCCGTTTTTCAACGTCCTTCGACGAACCTCTTGTCTCTGCTCTCGGGGCCGGCTTCAACCACTCCCCTCAATATAACCAGGCCATCACACCCATGTTCCCGAACGGCACCCCAGCTTAAAGCTCAAGTCGTCCAGGAGCTCGATTCCCATTCGGAAGTTGGCGTGATTTGGGGATAAGATGAGTGAAGATTTTGGCAGGATTAGGAGGGAGATTCAGCATAAAGTCAGATTTCCGTTGCTGGCGCCTAGAAGCGATAGCAGCGTTTCTTTGGAGTTTGACGAAGAGGATGAGGACTTTTTGGGAGGTGGGGTTGACGCTTTGTTGGATGCGCCAGTACCACTTCCAAAGCAACGTGAAGGTTCAAGTGCATCGCGGGGGACGTCCAGAGACGATGCAGTCAGCGTGGACTCGTCGCTCTCTGCCTCAAGTGTGAATGTCAATATCGACGTTGACGTCCGAATTGGAACCGTAGATGAAGGACATCTGGCAGGGGTGGGATTACCAAGACAAGATCAACGTTATGGACCCGAAAGGGGCAGTGGTGGGATGGTCTATGCACCGCAGGGTTCTCATCTTAGGCTTGTGGACAGGTATGCTGAACAACCGCAAGCTTCGTACATCGACCCAGATTTGATGTCGACATGGTCTACCGGTTTACATACGTTTTCATTTCCTCGTCTCGGGTCAAATACTCACTTTCACTCCTGCTCTGTATGTAGACTAGAAGAGTGGGTATCGTATTTATCAAATAATGGCGAGCCGACCCAGCATCCTCCGTGACATATTATCTACGGATAGACCTTTTCCTGATGCTTGAACGGTCAAGAACGTTTGATCGGCGACAAGGGACGAGAATAAGTATGTGATTCGAGGAACGAGCGAGGTGGGTGAGTTCCAATGGCGGCGTGGGCACCCAAGTGGAGTTGAAGTGGAGCATTAGTGAACACTGATGGAATAGTAAGAGTGGTTTCAAGCCTGGAGCGATATCACGGCTGCTGTTGTTACCTCTCCCTCCATATGGCTCTCTATTCTCAGCTTCACCTTCATTGCTTCAAGACTGCTGTGGTATTTAACTTTGAATTCCCTCATATCTTTGTGGATATGTTCATATTGCCAAACCCTATGAGTCGTCGCGGAGTTGGAGGCTAGTCAAAGGAGACACCAGCCGCATGGAATGATAGAAGTACTAGTGCTATTATATCGTAGCGGCGCAAGCGTCAGTCCCCGACTCTGTTTGAAAACAATACTCGGTCAAAATACCACAGTAACATGCAAATTGCGTATCATAAATAATGTAATTTACACAACCCACCTGAATAATCTTCTACACTTATTAGTTGCCTGCTCGTCGCCGAACCGCTAGCGCGGTTCGCTCCTCGCAGGCCAGCCGAGGTTCTATGCACCTTACCAAATGTTCCGGCCAAGTGGACATGGGAAGAAAGAACGGAACAAGCCGAAGATTGTGGGAATCCATCCAGAAAGTTCCGAATTTCGAGAGTCCGAACCGCCGCCGATCCGCCTGTCCGCCTATCCATACAGCACATGACGGTACTCCATCACGTGTCGTCGTGTTCGTCACCAGCGTCTTCGCATTTGCCTCGCTGGCTCGTCTCTTGACTCTCTTCAATAACAGTATGTACCCCAACTATGTTCTCTTGGTAAGTGATATGTTTTTTGTCTGTTGTGAGGGTCGAGAGCTGAGCGCTGAGCCACCACTTTACAGTCTCTCTCTTATCTTACCACTCTCCCTCTTGTCTTCAGCATTTCGTCTTGTTCAATTAGGATGTCCCAACCCCATGAAACGCCGTCCATTCAATGTATTACTTGCAAGCGCAATGTTCAGTATGCGCCTGTCAAATCAGATGCTAATGGCAACCAGGGGCGCCTTCTCGCGAAGGTATGTAAATATATGCGCAATTTTCGATTGATTCTGATACTTTTATAGTGTCTTCATACCGACCCCAGCACAGGCGTCAAGTGCAACTTCTTTCGTTGGCTAGCGGGCTCTCGAACACCCTCGCTATCGCCCCGTCTCGCTTCAACCAGTCAGCTGCCTGCCGTTGATCAACATGGTGGACCTGTGCTCCTGACATCTATCTCTGATGCAGCGGGTGCACCGCCAGCTTCGCAAAAGCAGTCTTGCGCCACTATGGGTTGCTCTTCAACCCGAATTCGCAAAGGCTGTGGGCGACGAATGTGCAAGGCACATTGTCTCGAAGCAGGTGGTTGTGCTGACCCAGCCCACAAAGCATTGCAATCAACAACGGCTCCCTACACGGTTGCAGTACCACCCCCACCAACTCCCATCTTTCCGGCACACATGAATCCCATTGGGGTGCCGCGCTCGACCTCTGCTGGCTTTATCGAACCCAACCCACCCCCTGGTCCTCTCACTGGCGCCGCCTCTTCATCGTGCGTTCCAAGGAATGCCCGTACAGAACCCACTTTTTCCTCCCACATGACAGAGCTCTACACCGCCCAAATGGCTCGTGAGGAACAGTTGAGAGAAGACAGGCGACAGGCTGAAGCTATTAGATTGGAGAGTAAACGGAAGGTTCAACAAACAGCTTTTGTGTATGCTTGGATGGAGGTACGTTTTCTCACATGCTATAAAAGTACATGCTCATGTTTCTTTAGGATGGCGTTGCCCCCGTTCTTTTTGAGGTCCAAGAAGGCTTTGTCTGGCCTCATTTCATTCTGAATGAGGCCGTTCTCGATTCTGCGGGCTTTGTAGACATTTCGGTCAACACCCGCTTCAACATTTTCCGCTTCAACCTTAATCATTGGACCTGGGTGAAGCTCAATCATGTCGTTGAATTGAAGGATGCTCCCCGCATATTCATCAAGGCCACCCACGTCCAACGTTGTCAAGATTTCGAGCTTTTTCTTTCCACCACGTCCTTGTCCGCTGCGAGCCCCAACATCCGTACCAACCTAGCAAGGGAACGTGCTTATGTGAAAAGGAAAACAACCGAATACGAACTTTCGCAAGGCTCAAAGCTTCCCTTTGTAAAGAACACACACAACCTATCCCCTAACGGCGTCGTCTCTACACCCAAGCGTCCGCGTTATCAAAGGCATGAAGAATCCCCTACTCCAACTCTGACGACGTATCGTCCGCCAGCTCCTCCTCCAAAGTTTATTGGCAATTTTGCCCCTGGTGCGACCAGGGTCGTCAAGAAATCGGCTGCAGCAAGACGACGGGAATTGATGGATTCTTATGACAGTGATTCGGGGCTTGAGTTGACTGACCTCGAGCTTGCCATGCCTTTTGTTACTCACTCATCTGCCACATCATCCATCCACGTTAATTCGGCCGCCCCTTTGTCTACCTGCCGCATCAATCCGTCCGCCTCTTCGTCCGCCTCCCACATGAATTCGGCCGCCTCTTCGGCCAACTCCTTGTCTACCTCCCGCATCAATTCGACCACCTCCCATGTTGATTCGTCCGCCCCTTCCTCAATTGTATCTGTCGTTCCTTTCTTGATCCCCAATAAGCGCATTTCAAAAAAGCCAAGGTGGCCAGCCGATTTCTTCGCCGCTAGTATTGCCAACTTCTTCGATGAGGTCGAAGACAGTGCGAGCGATACACAAGTTTGTTCGCTCTTTGAATATCACTTCGGCCGGTGGGTTGACTACAAGAGGTCAACCTACTATGATCACCGCCAGCGGTGGCAAGAAGCGACGCTCGAGGCGAAGCAGGCAGTGCTGTCCGCAGGTCAGACAGAAGCTGGCTGCTGGCTCAATTTTATGTCAATGACTCGAGCACCCCGGGCACATATAAAGGCTGCGCGTCGGCTTAATGTTGATCAGCTTGCTATGGTCGACAGTGATGTTATGGAGATCTCGTCGGGTTCAGACGGTGACGCGTAAATGCCCTTACTTATCTACCTTTCCCTTCACTAGATTTGTAGTGTTCTTGTAGCGTGTAGTTATACTATGTATCGTACCTGTATTAGATTTGTAGTTCGCATTTGTTTTGTTATTATAACATGTAGCTACTATTTCTCCGTTCCCTGTATTAACATACATAGCCCGTTTCTGTAATGAAATGACCGTCCTTCTGGAGCTTATCACGGGTCATCGCATTTCGAAGTAGAATCATGGTGTCGAGGAAAAAATTGTATCGATCGACTCGCATCTCGCGAAGAATTGAGTGGAACCCCCCTAACCACACATTGGTCTGCTCGGCAATGGAAGAATTAAAATACCAACCCTTGCCATTTTCATCTAGCAATTCAGCATAGTCAACGGGGTTGCAGTTGCTTTGGCAATACTTGTCTTTGACTGAGTGTTTGCAATTGAAGTGGAACACGTCCACCGTGAGTCCCATGTCTTTGAAGAAGGGGTCGCCTTTGACGTGCTTGGAGAGGGAGCAGTTATTGTCGAAAAACAAATGATTTGGCTTTTGGTGGTTGATGCTGAACGTACGTTTCACAAATTCCTTCGCAAAAGCAACTTGTATAAATTGATCCGAAAACTGAAGAGAAGATGTGGGCTTACCGCGCATGTTGCGATTGCCTCCGCCCCATAGAATGTTTCGCGCGCAAGAATCATACCACAAGGAGCAACTAAAATCTGCTCATTGTGGGTCCTCCGCCTCCCAAATTGTGCCGAAATTCTTTTCTTGGTTAAACCACCAGTCAGTGGAGGTGATGCGCCGCGCGGGTCTGAAACGCCATCATTTACACCATGAACCAAGTTCGGGTCCTGCTCATCCACCTCAAACTCCTCCTCCTCGACATCACCGTCTATAAGCTCCCCAACTTCGATCTCCTCAGCAATTCCATCATTGAGATGCGATACACGTTGACGCTTCAACTTGTCCTGCAGCTGAACACGAGACTGGCCTCTCAGGATATACATGCGCTCAACCTCCCTGTGATCTGGGTGCTGGCAGGTCCTTTTGCCTTCAAGAACAGGTCTGTTGCACTCCTTGATAGCGCAAATGCTACTCAGGTTACGATGTATTGCACAGTAACGATCCCGTGAGGTAGTCAATGGAATTTGGCAGTTGTGGACAGCACAACAGTTATGTCCCAACGTTATTCCATCCATCACGGCGACCCACACAAACAAAGCCGCTGAACCATATTTAACTTCTGTTGGCAGCATCACATTGGGGATACTCACGCTCACCGTCTTTGGCAGCATAGATACGCGTACACTTCTTGCACCGGTGCGAGATTTCCTTTTGTCCATATAGTTTAATACGAGCATTTCGCGCTTTGATAGCCTGTGTGAACCGATCTGTTTGCTCTCCGGTGTGAGGTACTATCAAGGTGCTAATTCGTTCACGATGGTCTTCAAGCAGAGATAGGATCGTGAATCCATCTTGTATGTGATCACCTTTAAGTGCAGCTTGGAATTTCCAGTTGGAAGGAAGGCCATTGCTGCCAGGTCCTGCAAGTGCAACTTCATATGTACGAGCACAGTTTGTAAAGGATTTCCTAAGAGGAGTATTAATCCAAATTTACGATGCTTCATGGTCTAGTCAATCAAACATACCATGAGATATTAGTATCAGCACGCCACATGTGCAAAACCTTCAGCTCAACGAATTGGTGCTCTCCAACTTGAATAATTTCTGGTATAGCACCATCATAATAGTTTCGCATGCCGTTCTTTACAGAATAGTTGTGGTAGTAGGCTGTTTGACACCCTAACAACGTTTCCGTATGAGAAATGATGGCAACTCCTGAAGCATAATAAACTTTCTGCGAGACGCCGCACCTTCGCATTGGAATCTTATCACCCAGACGGGGCGAACGCCATCCAAAGTGTAGAGTACGCCTTGTGTTTGGTCTGCCTTCTGGAGCTTAAGGTCCTTCTTTGGTCGGTCACAGAGACTGTCTGTGCAATAGTTAACAGGAGGGTATAAAGATCCTATTACATGATTCTCTTTAGAATATGCTGAACAAAATGGAGAAACAAGAAGAACTCACTATAACCAAGGTCTTTCCCAAACAACTTGAACCTTTCATCCACAGCCTTTGCCTTCTCATTGTATCCCCACACAGTTTCCTTGAGGTATGACCATAATGTATGTATTGACTCCGTGTCAATTTCACATAGATTAGACAGGAGGTGCAGAATGGATTGAGGCAGGAACATTGGTGGATCAGTAGTTGGCCAGTTTGACGCTTGGGCAAGGAGGATGTCGTTCTTGAAACGGGGTGCATAGAGCAAGAAAGTCGATAGTTTGATGAGAACATCCTGGTTCAGGACTTCTGGGAATGAACGCGCAAGTTTGAGGAAACCGTTGATTGACATGTTTTTGAGATGATTATGGTAATTAAGTTACAAGAATGTGAGCGGTTGCGAGCGAGTATGTAGTTTACGACAGTCGCGAACTTGACGCGATGAAGGCACGTGATCGTGCTCGGACAGGCGGATCGGCGGCAGTTCGGACTCTCGAACTACGGAACGTCCTCCAATCCATCACACACGATGGAGCTCGGAGCTTTATCGTTCTGACGGAACCCTCTCTGTTCCAGAGTCGGGGATCCATTCGTCTACGCTTCGATCGCCAGCGGCCACCCGCTTCCGCCACATAAAGGCTCGTCTTCATAGCTGCACATGTGCATCACTCGACGTCCAACGTTCAACGTCAGCTGTCTCCAAGTCCAACTCTATAGTACTCGTAGTACTTGCTACTATTATAGCACTTCCCCGCGACAACATCCACGCGAAGTCGCAAGTCCAGGCTGGCTCCCCCGTTCAGCGTGTCTGT